TTGTTTGTTAAAGACCTGTCATGACATACTGTTCACCACAGTATAAACTGAATATAACTGTTTATTTACATTGTATTTATTTTTATCACACACTCGTACTGATTCTGTGACTCCATAGAAGTGGTAATGCATGGCCGTACATAATTATATTTTGACCTGAAGTCATTTGAGTTAAACAAACATAGTGTATGATGCATTAAATGTTTGCGTTACACTATAGACATGTCATTATAGGCACATCATTTTTCTTTTCCACTTTAGATAGTCTTTATTTTTGTATGTGATAAATAGAAATTATATTCGTGGAGGTTCATTACTGAATTCATTGATCTTGTTGAATAAAATAATATTTTGCATGCAAGAGACTCGCATAATATTATTTTATTCAACTTGTTCAATAAATTCAGAATTGAACCAACACTTATTCAATATATTCTATTTGACAGTTTATGTAGAATTTATTTGAAGTTTTCCATTCGTTTGTAATTGAATTCTCGTTAATCTTGTCGTTTGGAAATTTTGTGTAAGTGTTTTCGTATGAACATATTATTATTACTTTATTATTATAAAAGGACTAGACAAAAATGTGAACAAGTAGGTTATGATAGGTCTTGCTTTTAATGTGTAATACATGTTGTTGTATATACATGTTTATCAAAGCTATCCAGTTAGCTTACGGAACGTCGGTGGTTCTACTCAGGTGCCTGTTCGTGCCTGAAATAATGCACGGAAGGGCACCTGAGGTTTTCCTCCAACAGTAAAGCTGGAACGTCGCGATATGACCTATACTGTGTCGATGTGACGTAAAACCCAAAAACAAACAAAAAACAAAACATGTTTATCGCCTAAACTGCGGAGCAGGACTGTAATAAAGCCAATTAATAAAAATGGGATGACACTACACAATATTATGCTAGTGTAATAACACTTTGACGTGACATCATTTCTGCTATAAACATAGCGTTAAAGCGCGCTAATGTTAGCTTTACACTATAGGCATGTCAAATAAAACAGTTAACTGTTCCTATTATGTGATAAAAAGAATATTATATTTGTGTAGATTCAATACTAAATTTATTGAACTCGTTAAATAAAACAATATTATGCTCGCCAGAGGCTTGCATAATATGATTTTATTCAACTTGTTCAATAAATTTAGTATTAAACCTACACTCATTTAATATCCTCTATATGTAAATATGTATGTATGATTGTAAAAATAATTGAAATGTACATATGTAGATCTATGTATGTTAGAAAATACTAAGGATGGCTAAATAGTTAACTGTAAAAAGTGCATTTATGTGCATGATATCAAATTAGCTAGGAGTAGGATCATTCATATTGCATGAAATGTAAATTAGCCAAGATCATTCATAATGCATGATATGTAGATTAACCAGGATTATTCATAATGCATGATATGTAAATTAGCCAGGATCATTCATAATGCATGATATGTAAATTAGCCAGATCCATCAATGCAGTAGAAGTAAATTAGCCAGATCATTCAATATACATTACCATTATGTGTTACTTAGCCAGGTCTATAAATTTACATGCATTGTAAATTAGCCTGGTCCATCATTATGTGTTCTATGTCATAATTAGCCAGATTCATCAATAGGGGTTATAAGTTATTTAGCAAAGACCATGAATATTCGCGACGTGTAAATTAGCCAGATCCATCAATATGCTTTAGAAGTAAATTAGCCAGATCCATAAATATGTATGAAGTGTAAATAAGCCAGATCCATCAATATGCTCTAGAAGTAAATTAGCCAGATCCATCAATAAGCATGATGTGTAAATTAGCCTGGTTTATAAATATGCATGATGTGTAAATATTTAGCCTGGTTCATAAATATGCATGATATGTATATTAGTTTGGCCAATCAACATGCATGATAAATTAGCTTTTGATAGAGATTTCATTTATTCTTATTATCATTTGTTCACAATGTCAATATTGTGTTTTAGATGTGTCTACCTTAGCCCAAATTCACTCTAATTTTGGTAAAGATTTTTAAGTGTGAAATAAAGATTTTGGCTGTTAGAAAATCTATTTAAGCGATCAACTTCAAGTCTATGATAAGTTAAAGTACCAAATGTAATCTAAAGACTATTGCAATACAAAGTGGTTGACAGCATTGACTTGCAATTGTTATTTGATTGTGCTAAATTGTCTTGTCCTTAAATGGCATCAAAGGAATTTAAATGTACAAACTCAATTTAAGAGTCTCAGATGTGGTTGATACAATCAGTGCATGAAAGAGTGGTTGAATGTGCAATACATGCAGACAGACAGACAGACAAACACTAAGATATGCTCTTGTCAGTTATAATATCCTGATGGGGTCGTTATGCTTAAAGGAGCTGCACTGAGATCTAAAAGGAAAAAAACTTAAAATTTTAATATCTTAAGTAGATCAACTTCGGCACTGAAAACAGAAAAGAAAATAAATAAATAAAAAATATTAAAAAATATACCCAATTGAAAAACAATATTTTAGAAGGATTTTTTGCAGAATTTAAGTTAAAAATGTTAAAACACTTTTCTGTTTAATTTCATTTTGTATGATAAAAACAAACTTTGAGTGAGCAACTGATTTGAAATTTTGTACACATTGATTGGTAAAGATCTATGTCAAATAGTATAAAAATCTCGATAAAATGTTTCCAGTCCCTTAATGTAATGAAAAACCTCAGTTGGGTCTGTTTAAATTCCTTTGATGCTAATTTAACAGTATCAGTTTAGAAGTGTATGTGATTTATGAAAATGAGTACATGTATTACAGAGAATATTTTCCTCATAACATTAAACTATAATCTTATGCTATTTTTTTTTCTGCATCATTTTATCAATTTTGTACATATAAAAAAAGCTTTTTCTGTTTTATTTTGTGATTTTGACCTATTTGATATTATAAAAAGCTTTGGAGATGTAACTTCTTTCAATATTTAACTTGATAGCATGTTTGGGTGTTTATTTATATACATGTATATATTTATGTATTGACTAGTCTCTGGTTAACCACTGTCTAAAATTAGACTAACCATAATCCTTTAATTTGATTGGTCGAATAAGTTTAAATAGAGCTGCATTTTTAAATTAATTTTAAATTTTGGCTTTTCTGTGTCTATGAGAAAAGATATACAAATGGTTAAGGTATTTTAACAAACTGTTCAAATGAGATAAAAATTATGTGGCTCTTGAGATAATTGATTATTGTATAAGACATGAATTATCTGACAATATTTGCAATAATTTGACATGGGTATCATGACAATCTGACTTGATCTGACAATATTTGCAATAATTTGACATGGGTATCATGATGACTTGACATGATCTGACAATATTTGCGATAATTTGACATGTGTATCATGACAACCTGACTTTATCTAACAATATTTGTGAAAATATGACATGGGTATTATGAAAACTTGACATGATCTAACAATATTTGCAATAATTTGACATGGGTATCATGACACCCTGACTTAATGTGACTTATTTGCGATAATTTGACATGGGTATCATGAAAACCTGACTAAATCTGACAATATTTGCGATAATTTGACATGGGTATCATGAAAACTTGACATGATCTGACAATATTTGCGATAATTTGACATGGGTATCATGAAAACTTGACATGATCTGACAATATTTGTGATAATTTGACATGGGTATCATGAAAACTTGACATGATCTGACAATATTTGCGATAATTTGACATGGGTATCATGAAAACTTGACATGATCTGACAATATTTGCGATAATTTGACATGGGTATCATGAAAACTTGACATGATCTTCAAAGGTTACTGATATTACAATGACATAACAATTATTTGTTACATGTACATACAAACTATAATACCCTACATTTTCATACATTTAGCTAGACTTTTTGTCTGTGTAGTTTGTTTCTATGGATTATCAAACATAATAGGCACAGGTCCCATAACTGAGACTTACCCTTTTACTGAGTTATGCCCCTTTTCTTGTTGTCAAGCACTGAGAACAGTCTCCCAGACAGGTCTTGCTATGTATTCAATGGAAAAATCACGGTCACGGTCTGTTATTGAGTATAAAGACTTGTAAATACTAATCTGACATTTTTGCAGTGATGTCATAGTAAAAATCTGACATCATGTGTACATGACATCACATTTTTCCTGACATTCCTAGTGGATAAGTTTGAAACAAGTCAAAGTAACATTGTGTTAACAGGATATTATAAATAATGATTTTGACTTCCTGACATTCCAAAGTCACCTGACATTACTATATGCTCCTAAAGATATGTTTAAGATATGACACTTTGAAAACATAATACTATTGTGCTGAAATGGCATTATTATTAACAATGGTCTACTCACTTTCAAATGTTATTACTGTAAATTCACTTAATTTCATGGGTACAAAATTTTGTAGTATTGTAAAAAAAGGACATTTTTGTGGGTTATTAAATTTGTTGATTGTCTGTTTTGAAAAAAAATGTGAAATGCAAATAATACAATACAGAAATATTCTTGCAGTCTATAAAAAATAAAATTTCTTTGCATCTTAAATTCATGTAGTAACCAATATCCATGTAAACCACGAAAATTAGTGCCATGTGAATAATGATGATTTTGCAGTATTGGGATCTTTAAACCTAGAAATATGGATATTAAAATTTTGACAAATTAACCAGAGGCTAGCCACTCTCTGTTTTATTTCTAACTTTATTCTTGTCACATCCAGTACTCTTCTGTTTTAGTTTAGTATAGATAAAGAAGCGGGTGATCGCCAGATTTATCATAGATATTGCATGGAGAGAGCTGCCGCAAGTATGAGTCACGTGTTCACAACCGTATCAGAAATCACCGGAATGGAAGCACAACATCTTCTTAAAAGGAAACCAGGTACGGTTGATCTATTTTTAGATTGGAACATGTCGTATAATTGTCAGGTTTTAACGCTCGAGTATTTTTGCGTCTGTTGCAGTTTCAACTGGATAAGGAGGCGGGAGATCGTCAGATTTATCATAGGTACTGTATGGAACGCGCGGCAGCACACACGTCGCATGTGTTCACCACTGTGTCAGAAATCACTGGCATGGAGGCTGAACATCTGTTGAAGAGAAAACCGGGTAAGTTGATGTGAGTAAACGTTCAATTGACAGTTGTTTAGAACTTTATCTTGAAGTGTTGTTTAATTACAGGGGTGTAAAATTCCACTTGTCTGCTATCAAACTATACAAGTTTAAAGGTCCTATTAATGACTATAAATATACATATAATATAATTGACCATTTGGCAAATGTATTTCTCTTATTTCTGTCAAATTGTCAGAGTTACAAGAAATGTCAATAGAAATTCTTGGACACTTTATCAAAACACAGTTTTTCCTAAATCCAAAAGTCATTGTAGAAACGTTTGGTGTTATTCAAGCTGTTTTCATAATGACGTTAAAAAGTGTTAAAATTTAAAAGTTTATACACATTTTTATATTTACTTTAAAATAAAATGGATTCTAAAGTAAAATAAAATGGATCTGAAGGATTTTAATAAAATCATGGATTTACTCTTGAGAACAGAAGTGCTGGGGTGTAGATTTTTTCCTTTTCAAAAAACCTGGAGGGGCCTTTACGAAGGTAGGGGCATTTAATAGGAATTTTACGGTACATGCTTTTTTGAAGATTATGGTAAATTATGTTTAAATGCAAATAAAAAGCGTATATTGTCACCTTAGTGCAGTTATGAGTGTTAACTCCTATTACATTTAAAGGATTTAACCTGTTACTACATTAAGGCGGCAGTATCATGGTGTAAACTGGGTTAGTTGTTTGAGATAGTTATATGCTCATTGTAATAGGAAGCACTTTAACTTTTGCACACTGTAGAAATATAGTAAAGATCAAGAAATTTTACAGAAATATGAATATTGTGATGTCATTATTTGATGATGTCATGAAAGAGACCACATGACCATTAGTGGCAAAAATCATTAAGAATTACAACAGTAGATAATATGATAGCAGGGCTCACACTGGCTCAAATAAAATAATAGCCAATAATTTCAACTTAAAAAAATAATAGCCAAAAGTTCAGCGGACTATTCACGAATTAGCGATTAACAACATAAGCAGTTGATTAAATAAACATTACATATAAAACTTTCAGTTTTATAAGGATTCTCAAATAAACTGATACATTTGTGTATATTGATAACTACCTTTTTTTAAATAGGACCACAACTTTAATTGTTATTATAGAACAGAATAAAAACGTTATAATTAGTATAATTACTGTATAACAATAATATTAAAGATTCATTATAACTTTACATAATGTTGTTATCAGACAACTTCTTTTGTTTGTTCTAATCAAATTTTGTCAGCTATAACCACTGTCAATTTCCACATTTCACACAGAACTGGAGTATTAGCCTATAGAAATAACACAAGTTTGCAAACTCATTCACAGAATGCAGCCTTTTTTCTGAATAATTTACTGAAAAATATCATCATCACCAATGTAATACAAATTTTATGCCATAGTAGTAAAGATTTTTAAACAGAACATAGCTTATTTCACCTTTAAATAAATATCAAATTTATCGGTGTCGCGAAAATATGTGACAATCGGATTTTTCCTGTTTTCTGAAGAAATATTCACAATTTTGGTTGTTGTGCAAATAGATGTTGGGAAGTTAATACTTTTTAAATATTTTACCATTGTTTTCCACTGGCTATTTAGTCAAGTAGCTTAAAACAAAAAAAAATCAAAATTTGCAACGGTAAATTTTGGGTAAGTCAATATCCAGTTTATCCATTTTAAAACGATTTTTGTGGCTAATTGACGGATATTTGATGGCTATTATAAATGCTGGACAATATCTTTCAAGTACTTATACAATTATACATCTCGCATGTATTTTTTCTCCTCGGGCAATATAGTTAGCAGCACGTGACCGGTAAAAAGTTGACACTCAATTAAATGCACCCTGCTGGTGTTAATTGGGTCTACTGCATTCATTATCGATTTTTACACCTGATATAAACACTGTTGGAAGTAAAAAATAATCGCCAGATTTTGTAGCCAAAATGCAAAAATAATCGCCAATCTTGTAAAATAATCGCAAATGGCGACTATGGCGACCGACAGCGAGAGCCCTGTGATAGTAACACGACATTGCCGTAACAAGTTAGAGAAAATTGGATTGAAAATTTGTTTGTTTTTTTCCTATACAATCGAGTTATATTTAACCCATGAACACCAGCTGTATTATTTTCACTCTAGCCTACTCCATTCAGTATTACATTTTGATGAAATATAATATTTCATTTGGACACTGAAACAAAACAAATGTCGTACTTGGTAAATTACAGCAAGGACAAGTGAGCGATATAATATTATTGTAAAATCAGATTTTTTTCACAAGACGAATTTTTCAACAATTCAGACTAATGCATAAGAAATTTATCTTTCAATTTTGTTAAATTTATATTTTACTATGATACTTAGCAAACATTTATTTTTACAAAAATCATCTATTTACGAAATTTAACTTTTCGTGAAAATGTTTGATTTTACAGCTTTTTTACACCCCTGATCTTTGTTACATGCCTGCAAGTGTTCAGTTGATGCCAAAATTGTGTTCTTCAGTTGATGCCAATTGTGTTCATTCAGTATCTTTTGGGTAGTGTGGTTAAGAGAGTTCTTTCATCTGTTACATTGTTATGAAAGTTCTGAGTGGTTAGATAATTTTTTAGATTGTTGCAAAGTTAATACTGCAGTTATTTGAATGTGTATTTTGATATATGTAGGCACTCGTCATGCTTTTTACATTGCATTGTTGATAACTAGTTGGCCAATATAACTTGTTACCAGTTGTTTGCTATATGAAGCAGTATACCCTACTGGTCGGAGAGATAACACCGACCCATAGATAACCCGGACACTTGATAAATATGATTGTTATAACTTTGTTTGTCAACAAACAAGCATATAGTCATCTAGTAGTATAGGAGCAGGACAGAATGTGATGACTTTTGTTATGTTGGTAAACTTTTAAATATTTTTCAAATAACCTAAATTTTTCGTTGGCAAAAAGCCTCAAAACTTTCTTTTTACTAAATTACAATAAGTTAGTAAGAATTGTATTGACCACAGGTCTGTGACTTGGGGAAAGATTTTTGAAAAATTGTTTTTGTATCAACAAAAAATAGATAAAACATAAAAGATATGAAAATAAATTATTCATTCAGGATCTTAAAAAAGTACCAGTTTCCATTTTCATACATATTTTTTGTAGTGTAATATAAAGTACTTGAACTGAACTTTGTTTAGGTGGTTCAATATTTAAAATATACAGGAAGATAATTAAGATATTGCAAAAAATATGTGATTTAGTGTCAGAGTTATCTCTACAACCAGTATACTAACATACAAAAAGTTCTGGTTTTTGTGTCAAAATAAGGACCCCCGTCTTATAAGTGGTCTGTCCTTTAAGTGAGTTAATTCGGTATTTTGAGACCATTGGGAAACCTGATATTACTTTGCTTGGATGGGTGTGGATCGAGGTGGTTTGCATATCCTACTGCCAACAATGATCATGCAGCTCAATCTAACAGAGCCAACAATATTTTCAATTTTGCCATGTTAAGCAGCTTTTAAAGCAGCATGCCACCACATTCATAATATTTTTCATGAACATTTTGAAAATGAAAATGTATGAAATACATATATAAAAATTATGAAATTACAATATCTTAGTTTTTCATTCAAAGTATGAAAAATATCAGGAATCTGGAGACATGCTGCTTTAATCCTTGAGCAAGGCAAAAATATATTTGATACAATTAATCATAGAAATTGAGAATATGGGCATTTATGTCTCACTGCAAGTCAGAAATCATGTGGGATTTATTAGTAGTCTGTCATTTGTGGCAACCAGTTATTCCTGGTTTGTTATCCAGGGATGTGGGCAAAAATAGATGGAATGACAGCTGAGATATAACCAAAAATGTATTAAAATACGGTAGCATAAAAAAACCCCAAAGAAACTTGACTAACAACAAGGCAAGTTCTGGATTCAGAATACAATACCTTTGTTAAGCTTTGTGAAAGGCAGAGGTATGTTCAGAAATAAGTTAAGTAATGCAAGATTTATATAAGATATAAATAATACTATTTCACATTTAATCATTTTATATAGAAAAGTAAACATCTTTATTTTTCAGATGTTATCACTCCAAATGGGTTGAACGTTAAGAAATTCAGCGCCATTCACGAGTTCCAAAATCTTCATGCTATTTACAAGGAGAAAATTCACGATTTTGTAAAAGGCCATTTCTATGGGTATGTTTGTTCATCATTTACTTGTATTGTCATATGTTTTTAAAGTAGCAAGTTTCACCAATTATCCCTGGATTGTATTGTTTATTACGAACATAGATTTCAGAGGAAAATTTATAATCAAAGTAGTTACATTGACATGTTTGCCTCCTTAGCTCAGTAGGGAGAGCATTGGATAAGTAATTCACGTGTCTCAAGTTTGATCCTCGGTTGAGTCATAATTTGTGTGTGAGATTTGATCAGGGGAGCGTTTCAACACGATTCTTTTACTTTTGCATTTACCTATGGCGAAAATTTGCTCTCCATATCGACAAAAGGCTCAATATAGCCATTCTATAAAGCCTCCACCTTGTCTAATTCTCCTTAAATCTGAGAATACATCTTTATTATTACCTTTTTCATAGTTTTTTCGTTTTAAGTGCCCCAGTTTATTTATGTAAGATTTTCAATTTTTTTTATATTTTTATGCTCTCAGTACTTGCTGAAGCACCTTTTGAATTTCAATCTTTTGAGCTCTATAGACTTGTTACTGTTTCCTGTAATACATTTTATTGTTATTTCAGGCATTATGATTTTGACATAGACAAGACACTGTATGTGTTCTCTGCGGGTCGTTATGAATTCTCAAATAAAGGAGCTGATCTTTTCATAGAGTCTCTAGCAAGACTCAATCATTTCCTAAAGGTATTTCGCTTGTCTTCATAGAGTCTCTAGCAAGACTCAATCATTTCCTAAAGGTATTTCGCTTGTCTTCATAGAGTCTCTAGCAAGACTCAATCATTTCCTAAAGGTATTTCGCTTGTCTTCATAGAGTCTCTAGCAAGACTCAATCATTTCCTAAAGGTATTTCGCTTGTCTTCATAGAGTCTCTAGCAAGACTCAATCATTTCCTAAAGGTATTTCGCTTGTCTGAATTTAAACGCATTTAAGCAAAGCCTTTGCAATTGATATAGACCCAGAAAGTGTTTTGGTGCAATCTGAATGGATTTGTATGTGTTGGCTGGCCAACTTTTATTTTGTTAATTATTTTAATTATTTATCATTGCACCCAAAATGTGTACAGTTTTTTGTAGTGTCTGTCTGCATGAATGAATGATTAAGGATAGGGGGCAATCTAATTGTGTTAACAGAACAAAAGAGAACAGCAGAGTTTAATTGGTAACTGTAGAGTAAGAGGCCATTGGCCATGTATTAAAGAAAAGAAAATAATAAAAGAAATGGCCCCTTATTCCATTTCGGCCAGATGTGTGTCTGTGCGTCCTTCCAGCTGTCACACTGTCCTTTGTCTGAACTTTATCCGGTCCATAACTTTGTCATGTACTGATTTTAGTATAAATGTGTAGCACATTTGAGCCGCGTCATGACAAAACCAACATAATGGGTTTGCGACCAGCATGGATCCAGACCAGCCTGCACATCCGCGCAGTCTGATCAGGATCCATGCTGTTCGCTTACAAACCCTATTACAAGTAGAGAAACTGATAGCGAACAGCATGGATCCTGATCAGACTGCGCGGATGCGCAGGCTGGTATGGATCCATGCTGGTCACAAACCCACTATGTAGGTTTTGTCATGACACGGCTCATTTGTTTTTCAGACGGCAGGAAGTGACATGACTGTGATAGCATTCCTGATCTTCCCAGCAAGAACAAACAATTTTAACGTAGAATCATTGCGAGGGCAGGCCATCTCAAAACAGCTCCGTGATACAGTTAGCCACATACAGGCACAAATAGGAAAACGATTGTTTGAGAAGGCTTTGAGGTGAGCATCTTTGATAAATTAGTGTTGTTGTAACAGTTTGAACCGTATTTTGATGTAATTCTTGCTCTGTTTTCAATTTTTACAGAAAATGAAACTGTATTCTTCAATTATCAAAGGCTTGTGTAATGGCATGAAAAGACTGAGCGCCATCCATTGTAATCATTTTGTGTAAATGACTGACAGTGGTTAATTTGGAAAGGAAATGTTGTTGCATGATGATGACGATGAATTTAAGGGCCACTTATTGTTCTTTCTTGTGATATTACATATCTTTGCTGAAACAATCGGAACCATTCACATCTTGTCCTCACAGTCTTGCTGCATAAACTTGCGAAACATATATATGACACCAATGTGTTGTCTGCAAATTGTGCCATTCAGTTTTCATTCAGCTGTTGTTTACATATCTGGCAGAAACATGTACACTATTTCAGATACAAATAAGAACTTTGTTATATCAGTTTAAGTTTTAGATTTTATCTGCATTTGTTTATAGTTTACAATTTTACTTGTTCCTTGATCATGATGTGTGAAAAATGCCAACTGTCACTAATTCAGAATGTTGACTTGCAACTTTTGTTGTCCTTTTGTGTTCGAAGGGAAAGGTGTGATTTTCCTATATTTCTGCCAAAGGGACTAGAGATCCAGTTCACCAGATTGAGCAATCATTATTGGAGTGTTCCAATGGTGAACAATATAATATTATATAGGAATTTTGTCAGCACTGATCAATGAAAGGGAAGTATTCCAGCAATTCAAGTTCGAGTGAACAAATTTTGACTGTATTTATATTCAGGTGAGCGATATCAGGGCCAGCATGGCCCTCTTGTTTAATTTTCCAGTTTTTTTAAAAAAACAATCAGGCTGATCAGTATGTAAATACTGATAATTTTATCTTTTCATTCAGGGGCCAAATTCCAACAGGAGAAGATATATTCATACAAGATGACGTAGTAAAGCTAAAACGCTGTATATACGGTGCACAGGTATGTATATTTAATTCATTTACTTACACTTTTATAATTCTCCTTTACAATATGTTAGTAACTCCCCCTAGTGACTGAGGCCGGTTGTCTTAAAGGGTTGAGCCACCGTTGATCCTTCTGTGATTATAAGAGGCAACTAAATGGGTAGGAATTACTGGAGTCTATGCATCTCTTAGCTCCTGCAGGTGAGGTGGTTTTGACCCCTGGTGCTACATTAAGTTTATAAAAACCCAAGGTTAGAGAAAATCATTTTTTGTGTATATTAACCTAAATTGTGTTGGTGAGCTCTCACCGCCTGTACAGAAATCATGTGGGATAAGTTGTCATTCATTTAAGGATAAATTACTATGTACTGGTTATATATATCTGGCATTGCATGTTAGGTGAGACAATCACCAAGATGATAACCAAAAACTGTATTGAAATGGGCATAAAAACCAGACAAACAAGATTAATAACCAACTTCGGGTTATATATCTTGGATTTCAGATAAGGTGATGCAACCAACAAGACTTAACCAAAAACCACCAAGATATAACCAGAAACCACTGAGATATAACCAAAGACTGAAATGGGCATAAAAACCAGACAAACAAACATAACCTTGTAGTGTTGACATTGATTTGAAGTTTTTATGAGTGTAAACATCATAACATACATTATGGACACAGGACAGGTGCTGCTATTTCAACACATGATTTATATGATCACTTTATGTTTTTATTGGATCGTTTTATCTTGTAGAGAAATACCCTACCTCCTATTTCCACACACAATGTCTGTGATGACCATAAGGATCCTATTTTGAATGCACTACGAAGATGTCAACTGTTTAACAACAGACACGATAGAGTCAAGGTAAATATTCTTAAATGGCTTTAGTGCTTGTACTACATTGTTCCCAGGGCTTTTTTTCACAGGTTGGGGGAAGCAGCCCTGCCATTAATTTTTGGGGAAAATTACACGGTATTTTTGCAAAAGGGGAAGAAGAAACTTGATGTAAATTCAATTTTTGGGGAAAAGTGCATGATTTTTTAAGAATTTTACTTTTAGTAACTATAATGTCCCTTGCTAAAGAAGGAAAAAAAGCCTGGGTTCCTCAAAATTTCTTGGGAATATTCCTTTTTGTTATGGAGTTTCCTTATTTATAAACTTTTCAAATTTGTTAGAGGTTAGGTTAAACAAATGGTAAGTAAACATTAGTCAATAGCAACCTACTGCATAATTATTATTTTTCGTGGGACACTAATTTTTGTAGTTTTCGTGGATAGGTCAATCCACGAATTTAAGATCTGACGAAATTTCATTTTGTCAGCTGGAAGATTATTTTGCATCACATTATTTACATTTTACCTTTTGTGAAAACAAACTGTCCACAAATTGAAGTACCCATGAAAATGTTCTTTGTGACCAAACCACGAAAATGCATGTCCATGAATTTAAGTGAAATCATAGCACTGTATGTATAAATATGTTTGAATCATCATTTTAAATGGCCGCAAAGGAGTCTACCCATATGACCAGTAAAGACCATGATTAACTGGCACGTTCTTAGTGGTGATGTGACCGAGTTTTTATCGCTCTAAGTATTGGTTTATACAGAATTTATTTTTGTTCAATTGTGTAGGAAGCTATAAGCTTATAGACACACTTTCGAATCCGTTCCAGTACTGAGCAATGAGTGTAAAGTTTCTTGCTCAAGGAAATAACAACTTGCCCCTGACAGAGTTTGAATCATTAGATTACTAGTCTGATGTGTTAACCACTTGGCCATGCTGCCACTTAACGCATGTATTGTTAACCATGTGGGTTCAAACCCTGTCAGGGCCAAGCTGTTGTTTCTTAAGCAAGAAAATTCACAGTCATTGCTTAGTATTGGTTGAATCCAGGAACGGGTTCAAAAATTTCAATAAGCTTCTAGCTTACAACACAATCAAACTAAAATAAATTTGTATAAACTAACTGCTAACTGGCACAAGGTCTGGCTATTCAGTGATTACATATTTTGAAACTTTCCCCTAAAAATGATTAATGGTAATATTGGATCATGTATCCCACATTAACAACATCCATATACTTTTATATCTAGTATGGTTTGTTTTCTTGTAAGATACTTAATAAGATCGACCAATTCACTTAAAATGGAATGTTGCTATATAACATTTACAGTGTTTTCGTGATATTAAATCTGACCAACAATTTGTAAATGAAATAGTAAAGAAATAAGTAAAAAAACAAAAAAACAACAACAACAAATAGATGCATTTGAATCATTTATCATAATACTATTTGTACATAAAAGTATTTACATTGAAATGTTTCACACTAAATAATAACTTAATCAAGTTTTCATGTACGTACAGGTAATATTCCATCCGGAGTTCTTAAACTCGACAAACCCGTTGTTTGGTTTAGATTATGAAGAGTTTGTGAGAGGGTGCCATCTAGGTGTATTCCCGTCATACTATGAGCCATGGGGCTATACACCAGGTATGTGTATTGGTAATTTTGCATATTAGTACTGCAAGACATTTTTTTTTACCTATGACCTGTTGCTGGTAGCTGATTCTGCTTGTGCAACCAGTGCAGACCAAGATCAATCAGTGCAGATCAAGATCAACCAATGCTGACCTTGATCAACCAGTGTAGACCAAGATCAAGTGCAGACCATGATCAATCACATTGCAGACTAAGATCAACCAGTGCTTACCAAGATCAACCAGTGCAGACCAAGATCGGCCAGTGCAGACCAAGATTACCCAGTGTAGATCAAGATCAACCAGTGACAACCAAGATCAACCAGTGCAGACTAAGATCAACCAGTGCTGACCAAGATCAACCAGTGACAACCAAGATCAACCAGTGCAGACATTGATGTGGTTTGATCATGATCTACACTGTTTGCTATTCTGTCATTACTTTCTTTGTAATTTTCCTAAAAATAATGAATGGTTTTGTTAAGTTTGAAAGATGGACAGCAATATTAAAAGAAAGAGTTAAAAAGGTTATATGGTGTAAGCTTTGTTGATAGTTCTACTCAAGTAACTGCTTATGACTGAAATTTATTCACCTAATGTTGTCTTCCATGATTAAAAAGAGATTAATAATTTCAGAGATTAAAAAGAGATTAATAATTTAACCAAAATTGTGCAATTATGTATGAAATTACTCATACTTGCTTTTTTTCCTGGACATATTTTGTAAAATATTTTGATAAATGAATATTTTTTTTGCAGCCGAATGTACTGTAATGGGAATACCCAGTATGACAAGTAATCTGTCAGGGTTTGGTTGTTTTATGAAGGAGTACGTAGCTGATCCTAAATCGTACGGTATCTACATTATAGACAGATTAAAACAAAGTGCCGATGATTCTGCTCAGCAACTAGCACAGGTATGTTGATAATGTGGTGTTTTTTATGCCCCCGCCATAAAATAACTGGGGTCTGGGGCATAAAGTGTTCCCTATTCAAAGAATATAGAGAGTTACTGTACTCACCTCAGCCTCACTTTGGTTAAGTTTTTGTGTGCAGGTTGATATCTACAAAACTACTGAAGGGAATGGGTTGAAACTTAAGACACTTGTTCTCTGTGAGTATCTGACATGATGGGCACAGGTCCTTTAACTCTTGAGTTATGTTTTTACAGAGTTATGCCACTTTTGTACTGTCAATACTCTGAGAATAGTTGAGTGTGCTGTCATACAAACTGCTTTTGTTATAAGCATTACCTTCTTTAAAAGCTTAGTTTGTGTAAATGAAGTGACTAGCTTTGAAAATGAAATAGTTTATGATGTGAAAATGCGATTTCTGTATCAAAATAGTTTTGGCCAAGTGGTTAGAGTTATGGCTTCAAAACTCAAGGATTGTGGACTCACACCCTACTACAGTAACATCTATGTTTCCTTACATCTTGTTCTATTAGAGAGTTTTCATACAAGCATATTTTATTTCATTAAAGTTTTCCTTGCTTTGGTGCTGAAATAAATGCACGATTGTATAATGCTGAAATTTTTGAGTTAATGTCGATCATTATTACTTTTGTAAGAATGCATAGAACATTAAATGAAAAATGGTATTAAGAAATACAACCTTATTTATTCAAGTCATTTGAATGAATATTATAACAAGAACAAAATAATAGAACAAATTTCTTATATTTTCAGTATATGTTTGACTTCACATGTTTGTCTAGACGACAGAGAATTATTCAGAGGAACAGAACTGAACGACTTAGTGAATTACTAGACTGGAAAAATCTAGGAATTGTAAGTGATTATTGTCCAAATGAGCCGCGCCATGACAAAACTAACAAAGTGCGTTTGCGACCAGCATGGATCCAGACCAGCCTGCACATTTGCGCAGTCTGATCAGAATCCATGCTGTTCACTTTGAGTTTCTCTTCTTGTAATAGGGTATGAAAGCAAACAGCATGGATCCTGATCAGACTATGCAGATCTGTTGGTTTTGTCATGGCGCGGCTCAAATGATTATATATTGTGCCATCCATAAATATCTTAATACACTTGTACAAAGTACAGTCAAACCTCTAATCAAAGGCTACCAAAGAGAGGAAGAAATGGGGCGTCCGTGGCCGAGTGGTTAAGGTCGCTGACTTCAAACCACTTGCCCCTCACCGCTGTGGGTTCGAATCCCGATAGGGACTTTGGATTCTTTCATGTGAGGAAGCTATCCAGCTAGCTTACAGAACGTCGGTGATTCTACTCAGGTGCCCCTTCGTGCCTGAAATAATGCACGGAAGGGCACCTGAGGTCTTCCTCCACCAGTAAAGCTGGAACGTCGCGATATGACCTATACTGTGTCGATGTGACGTAAAACCAAAAACAAACAAAAAACAAAGAGGAAGAAATAATGGTCTTTATAGACAAGTGGTGTTGATTTGGAGGGAACTTTATTCCATTTAATCGTCGAAGGGTTATCCAAAAGTGGCCTTTATTTACAGTGTTACCTTTATTCAGAGGTAGTCCTTAACAAAGGGTTGGCTGTAGTTATAAATTTCAGTGATATTATTATTTATTACATTACATGTGTGGATTCAAAGGGGATTGGGGACGGGGGTTACAGACTTCCACTCGGATTTTGCTTATATGTTATAGAATATGCATAAAATATTAAATTAAATCATGTTTTGTATATGTCCTTTTGTTCTTTTAGTGAAAATCATTAAAAAATTTGACTTATTATCCGCACCCCTCCCCCACTCCCCCATCCCCACTCTGGAAAAGTTTTTTAAAATACCATTTAATGCCATTCCCTTCTTGAAATAAAATAACTTGAATATGATAAAAATAACTGATTTTTTTTTAAATAACTTGACAATTGTGAAAATAACTTTTTTGCTTAAAATGTTCAAAAATTTGATTTTTCAGTATTACAGAAAAGCAAGGAGCATGGCTTTACTGCGGGCCTACCCTGACGACTTTACCGAGGCTAGCTTTATGGTGCGTATTTCTGTCTTGATATATCTTGTATCCAATCAAGACTCTTGTATGCTTATCAAGTATATATTTGTTACACTTATACTTCTAACGTCTTGGTCAGAATAGATAATTATGAAAAAATGAAAAAAGAGTATTAGAAATAGCTAGATTTGAAAAGTTTTGTATAAAGAATGAGTCAGATACAGTACACTCCATTTATAGCAATATTCAGGGGACCACCGAATTTATATTAGTATATCCCGATATCATTATATCAGAGTGGCAACCAATTTGGAAACAAGAGTTGGGACCATGGCAACAGTATCGTTATAATATATCCTGATATTGTTATATCCGAAAGTCAATCAGTTCGGAAATAAGAGTCAGGGACTGGGGCAACAGCATTGTTACAAGTGGTAAATCAATATAAGTGGTATCAATATAAGTGGAATTTACTGTAATTAGAATTTGCGAATCTACATATACTTTAAATGCTAAACTCTCAAAAACTTGGCTTAACCTGACCGTTTGGTTACAAATAACTTTTGAATATTACATAACAATATTGTTCTAAGTTTACTTTTATAATGAAGTAATAAATTGTTTTAATATATAGCATTTAAATGATCGCATGGAATGGTTTATAAAAATTCTATGAAACTGTAAAAATATTAGGTAGTTGTATCTGAACAATTTTGAAGAAAATAGTATATTTTTACGATACTTTAACCCATAAATCGTAATTAAATTTGAAAAAAAAAAACACTATCTAACTAAACAATTTATAATAATGGCAATAACAACAGCCTAAGGATATAAAGGTAGTTTTCAAAAAAAAAAAAAAAAGAAAAAAAATCGAAATATTTAAAGATGGTCACTCGTGTTATTTAATGTAATGATTATAACAACATTGTGCAGGAGTCATTAAACATGAAAAATTGAGATTCTAAACTCTTTTTAGAATTGGATACCAGTCTAAGATAATGGAGCGTCACCATTGGTCAGTTTCAAATCTGTTTAAAAATATCAACCAATGAGATAGTGAAGACATACACTGGTATCAGACATTTTATAGGCTGAACAATTACCTTACATAATGACTGACCACCTTTAAACTTCAGTATTTATTGTAGTAACTCATCAAAACATACTTTGATTTCCACAGTGAACAACTTTCATTTTAATACAAAGGTTGAGACTTTTTAGATTTTAGAGGCCGTCTACAAATCAAAATATTGTCGATAAGGCAACATTTCCCATCCATACTTTTCAGTTTTTCTCTAATAGTAAAACCTCCGTATGGAAATAATTTTTCCTCAAATATGTCTTCTATTACCCCAAGGTTATGGCTATAATTATATCTTATTGAGATGTTAGAAAATCATGAAAAATGCAGGTTTTGTCTACAGTTTAAAAAAAATACTAGTGGGGATATAAATCATTGGTTTGACTTTTGGATTTTCAATGTAAAAAGTCACTCCATAAATGCAAATGAGCTTGAAATAAATATGTTTAAACCATGAATTAAACAGTGTATAAAGTCTCAACCTTTACAATTTTAATGTTTAAAGTAAACATTTTAAAAGTGAATGTGAATTTATTTTTTTCTGCCATGCTTTTCCAATAATTTTTGCTTAAACCTGTACTGTGTACATGTCTATATTTACACAACAAGTATTATTTTATATTTCAAAGATGAATATTGTTTTTCAATGTTTGATTTGTTAGAATTGCCTTCATTTAGTTGTTAATGTGGCTGTTGGGAACTTGAAACTTAAAACAATTTTATTGCTATAGCACGTTATACACATGTAAATGAAGGTTCAAATTCACATTAGGAAGTTTAAAAGTATTGTTTATTGTCATATCATATACATATCTTTAGGGGTAAATACTAGGGATTTACAGGTCTTTACCATTAAAAGGACTCAACCTTAGATTTTTTGACTTGAAGCCCAGATTGAAATATTTTTTCAAGATTCTTCTATAACTGGATGTATGTTTGGACCAGTAACTTGTGTGCAAAATTTCAGATCATTCACTCACCAAGTTTCCAAGAAATGCAAATTGACCCAAAAATGAAAACTGTTGCAATGCTTTTCAATCAAATTGGCCAGAAATCACATAAAAATAGATTATCAATTTAATACTAAGTATTGTATATATGATGATTGTTAACATGAAACTTTCTACTACCCTTTTAACAAATCGGCATGATTTCATGATTTTCTTTTGCACTCTTATCTTTTTGTAATCTAACATAGGGTTTAGGTTATTCTATAACTGGAAAATTAATGAATAAGATCTTAAAATTATTAATCTTCAATAAATGCATGTTTTAATATTCAGTTGCTTTTATCTGATATGTTGCATATTTATTTTTGCATACTTATTTTTGCATATTTATGCATTTTTATTGGATTTGCTGTCAGGTAGCTAAATATTTTATTTTGCATGCTCAAATTTTCAGTTAGATGAACAAGAACGGATGGATAAATCTAAAGTGAGTTTGCCCAACAGATCCCAGTTTTTTTGTACTTTTAAAACTGAATTGAGGGAAAGGCATATAGTTAATGATTATAGGTTTTGAATCACAGGGAAGGCATAGCTCTAATTCACAGGAAAAGGGCATACAGTTAATTATAGGATTTGAATCACAGGGAAAGGCATATACCGTAGTTAATTATAGGATATGAATCACAGGGAAAGGCATATAGTTAATAATTATAGGTTTTGATTCACAGGGAAAGGCATATGGTTAATTATTGGATCTGAATCACAGGGAAAGGCATATAGTTGATTATAGGTTTTGAATTTCAGGGAAAGGCATATAGTTAATTATAGGTTTTGAATTACATGGAAAGGCATATAGTTTATTATAGGTGAAAGGCATAATTATAGTTAATTATAGGTTTTGAATTACAGGGAAAGGCATTATAGTTTATTATAGGTTTTGAATTACAGGGAAAGGCATATATTTAATTATAAGACTTGAATCACAGAGGAAGGCATTTAGTTGATTTTAGGGTCTGAAAGGCATAGGGTGGTGGAGGCATATAAGTAAATATGCGATCTGAATCAAAGAAAAACGCATATGAGTCTGAGGGAAAGGCATATGGTTAATGTTATGATTTGAATCATTAGGATAGGTATATATTGAATTATAAAATTTAGATCACAAGGAAAGGCATATAGTTAGTGATAGAATTTATATCATGGGGAAACTTCAGATAATAATAGGACTTTAATCAGAGGATTATATTCTAGGACTTTAATCACAAGGAAAGGCATATACTGTAGTTAATAACAAGATTGAATCCTGGGGAAAGGTATATGGTGAATAGAGCAAATGTCAAAAGTTCCTTTCTTTTAGGCAAATACTACTACAATCCTTCATCTGGACTTTGAATTTGCTTGATGAATCTGTTTGTGTGTGTTTGCTTGCTTCCTTTGCTGTGCTGATATTTAATCCTCTTGTCACAATTTTTGTCAAATGCAGCTTCAAAAACTGGCTGTTGGTTGCCACACACTCTTCAGGAGTACAAGTTATGTCAGTTTTAAATGACATCAGTAGTTAAAATTTGTTGCCAGCTTTTTTGCTGTCCTGTTTGAATATATTAACCAGACTCTTTGTGTGTGTTTTTGAATTTCAGATTGTGTAAACCAGTCTGATAAATTTTCATCTTGATTGGATAATTTGAATGTCACTTGATAAAAACAGCCAATCAAATTCTTTCATGTTTAGACTGGTTTACACATCTGTAATTAGATTAGATATATATAGACAAGTATTATTAGGTTTCTGGAATATGACTAATTGGAATGTCTTGGCTATTAAGTGTTGATATTGAGCAGTTACTGATACATGAAGTTTTTATAATAAATTACTAGATTAAAAATTACATCCAGGTTCGAAACAGTCTTGTCAGCTTAGCTCAATAGGGAGACCATTGGATTGTTTATCAAGGGGTCACTGGTACGATATTAGGTCTAGGCGTAATTTCTCCGCGATAATTGATCTCTTACATGAGTCTAATGGTCATTTGTCTCTCATCACAGATTCAGAAATAATGTGGGAATAGAAGTCGGATAAATTGGTATTTTTATGGTTAGTTATCCTGGAAAATGGGTTGGATGGACCTACTGCTTAGATATGACTAAAAACATGTTAAAATTGGGGTAAAACCAACATAACCAGCAACCAACCAAACCATTAAAGTGTTTTTCTTGCCTCATTTCTCCTTCCCTCATGAAGGAGCTATTGGTCATTTTGCAAAATTTACTGTGAGGCTTTTTTTTTGCCAATGGAGGAGCTACCTATTTTACTTTTTCTTTAAATAATGTGCAGGAAGTTTGGTTGAAGGGTATTTGTCTCTGTATACCAATGTATTGAAGGGATAAATGAGAAAACTGAAGAGGGTTTTGAGCCACATCTTTAATCTAGGGTGTAGAGCAAAACTGGTGAGCGTTTCACTAATATTCTGTAAGTTTTGCGTATCTTTTAACGTAAATTTGGACTTAGGCAAAACGTAAATTTACGTTGAGTTGCGTTTCACTACATAGAACATGCAACTTATGGCAGGAATAAGTGAGGGTAACTTTACGTTTAAACTTACGCAAATGCATAGTTTAGAAAGTTTAGTGAACCGCAAATAAATACGTAAGTTCTGCTTACGCAAAAAGTTACGTTCAAACTCGAGTTACGATAATGTAAGTTCGTTAGTGAAATGCACCCCTGGTGTGTCTGCTTCTATTTCTATATAAAGATGGACCAGTTTCGCTCTAAGCCCTCGAAATGTCTTTATCCCATAGTCTGCTGATAGCAACAAATTCTACCATTGCAACCACTACAGATCAAGATCAGATGGCGACCAAGTTTGAATCCCAGCCATGGGGGGATCTTTTTTAAAAGGATTTGAATCTTTCTGTTTCGGTCTCAGAATGTTTGTAAGAAAGGATATACAATATGTCTTATATAGAATGAAGATTCTTCAAACAATTATTTAGCTGGCCTTTTGTAACATTGCAATAACCATTAAAATTGTTTGACATTGAAATTTGATAATTTTTGTTTTGATTTTCAGCATTGATCATTCATGAACTATTTGATACGCTTATACAGTCTTTATTAAATGAAAGTAAAAAATAAATTAAATTTTTTTATACCATATTGAAGGAAGCTATTCCTTGATAATCTGTAGAGCAAGGAATATTGAAGGAAATGGTTCCTTGATAATCTGAAGAGCAAGAGAATTTCTGTCATTTGTAATTTTCAAACAGAGGGATTTTAATGAATGTTACTGTTTGTGTATTTAATAGTTTTTATTGGATTACCAAAATTACCTGAGGTTTTCCTTCAGCAGTAAAGCTTGAAAGTCACCATATGACCTATAATGTGGTGCTGCTACGAAAACCCAACTAAAGAAAAAGAGAAAAAAATAATTTTGTTAAGTTTATACTAGGTCATTATTAAAGTTTTTCCTACTTTTTCCTTGCAGGAGAGGAAAGTATTATACCCTAAACCTGCCAGTGAGCCGCCTTCACCGTCACAATCTCGAGCCTCTACGCCAGCCGTGTCAGACGACGATGAGCATGAACCAGTCCGGTTTGATGACGATGATAACCCGACAGATGACGAGGAAGATCTCGAGCCGGAAGCCGATCAACGATCATGATCGTCAGACGTTTGTTTTAGTCGTAGAGAAATACAGTATAAAAATAAAAATATTTAGAGAATATAATTATGTCGCTATATATAAAAATGAAATTATTTTGGAGAGCAAGTTTCATTGTGTGTGCATATTTGTATTGTGATCTTTATGATGAGATGATTGGCTTTATAAATGTGTGGGCTTAGCTAAAGTAACCTGAGTGATCTTGTAAGATTTTTGTTGCGTGAAATTTACTTGAAAATTCTACGAATGAGTTAGAATGACTGTAGGCTTGTTTGGAAGGTGGCGAGTGATATATGAACTAAAGTCATCAAACTGCCTTTTATGTTACAATGATTTAGACAGCTATTTTTTTAATTAGACCCCTTGTAATTGATCAGTGTTTTAATCGCTTGATTTGAACTTATATAAGAAATAGATAGGAATATTAGTGGTTTTGATTTGAGCCTCGTCACGATAAAACCAACATAATGCGTTTGCGACCAGCATGGATCCAGACCAGCCTGCGCATCCGTGCAGTCTGATCAGGATCCATGCTGTTCGCTATCAGTTTCTCTACTTGTTATAGGGTTTGTAAGCGAACAGCATGGATCCTGATCAGACTGCGCGGATGCGCAGGCTGGTCTGGATACATGCTGGTCGCAAAGGCATTACGTTGGTTTTGTCGTGACGCGGCTCATTTGTTTGTTTTAGCAAAAATCAGAACAATCAAAAAAATCAATTTTGTTATTGGTATTTAGTTGTTTTTTTGAATGCCAGTTGCATTTGTGGCATTACTGTGGCTTGCTTTTAATTTTGTGATGTACCAGCAATTTTTTTTACATCTTAGTGCATTGACTAAAATGTGGTACTAAGTTAATGGTTCTATAGAACAAAGTCGTTGTACAGCTTTTAAGACTCTGACAGAAAACTTAAAGTTAGTTTTGGCCCAATTCTTACCTTATGTAAAATTTTAAAAGAAACCGTCCGAATTGTTCCTGTCTCTTTTAGACTTAAAAGAGCTTATATTATATATGTAGGACAAAGCTCTTATATTCAAGATAGACTAACTTTTCCTTGTTCACATTTTCCTTGGAGGGCTGATGGAGAAATTATTAATAAGAAGAAATTGCAAATTTTGTTGATCTTTTTTTTTATTAGCTTAATAGATCACAAACGATGTTTTACATTCGTTCCCCTAATATTATATTTGTTGTATTTGACCATAGACTGGTCCACTGTTACAAAGTTTGTCTTCCATTGTTCTAAACTTTGCCTTCTTTATTGTGTTTTTTTTCCCCCCAGCTGCAGTCAGCAATCAGTACCTTTTAGAAAAAAAAAGACAACATTTATTTTTAAAAAAAAATCAAAATCTAAAGGGAATTTGCGAAAATAATATTTTTCTTGAGTGTAAGACTGAATCATTGAGTGTTTTCAGAAGTGTGGAAATATAAGGCTCTTTGGTAACTGTTCAGCTGAAACTCTGCCAAGCCAATTTTACTGCCTGAAATGGTTATACTTTTTCTTCAAAGAATAATCCAGTCTGTTCCGGTAGTCCGTGTAAGATTTTTATAGTCTCAACTTCAATAGCAAAGTGGAATTTAATGAAAAGTGAATTAAATTATGAAGGAAAAACAGTAGAGAAACTGATAGCGAACAGCATGGATCCTGATCAGACTGCGCGGATGTGCAGGCTGGTCTGGATCCATGCTGGTCGCAAACGCACTATGTTGGTTTTGTCGTAACGCAGTTCATATTTTAAAGCTGGAAATATTTTGATTACATAAGGAAAACAAAATATAGCAGTTTAAAAAGGCCATTCTTTATATGATGTAATTTGTGTCAAACATTATTACTGTAATGTTTTTGTTATTATTAACCTCAGTCAAGTTTATCTAATCCAGACTAATATACTGTCATTATTGTTTGTACGGTGTTTGTTAACTATTACTTATATTGATTTATATATATAATACTTTTATTTTTACGCAATGAAACTAATTTAGATAACTAAAGACTTAACCTTTAAAAAGTTGTTGATGGTTGAATTATATTTTAGATTGAAAAGTTGTAGTTAAATGTTGAAATGTTTGCCGTTAAGTTAAGATTGAAGAAATTATAGTTTGGATAAAATCTAGTTAAGATTAAAAGTTGTAGTTGAAATGTTAGCTCTAGTTAAGATTGAAGAAACTGTATGTGGATAAAATGGATTGTATTTTGTTGAAATGTTAGCTCTAGTTAAGATTGAATAATTTATAGTTGGATAAAATCTATTTAAGATTGAAAAGTTGTTGGTTGAAATCTAGTTAAGATTGAAAAGTTGTAGTTAAAGTTGAAATGTTTGCTGTATTAAGATTGAAGTTATAGTTGCATAAAATCTAGTTAAGATTAAAAAGCTGTAGTTTGTTAAGGTTTTAGCTGTAGTTAAGATGTTAAAGTTGTATAAAATCTAGTTAAAATTTTGAAAAGTTGTACTTCATTAAAATCTTATTTAATACTGTCATTTTGACAGTTTGGATATTGAAAAGCAGTTATTTAACTCTATGTTAAGAATAATTGTTCTTTTATAATTATGTGAATATTGTTACTTGTTAAGAATTATATTTTACACTTACATTTTAGTGCTGAGCATAATGGGGTTTTTTTTGTGTGTTTCTTTTTCCTCTTTTTGTGAATTCTCTTCCAGAAAATGATGTCATTGAAAGAAATGATGTCAGATTCTGGTAAATGTGTATAAAATATATAAAAATGTTTACCTTCCTATTCCTCACTGCTGTTTTCAATTTGACCAGACCCTTACTGAAGTTTGGTCTATTTCTATCAGTTTCAAGTTTTTAGACATTTAACAAATTTGTCAGAGCAGTCTCACTAGAAAAGGGTCAGGTCAATCAATATTCATAAATTTAGAGACTGACCTGGGTCTATACAGGTCAGGTGTCTTCTTTTAAGGGTACTAGTAGTGCTGTTAGAGCTTGGAGATTTAACAATAGGACGACGCTCTCTTATTTATGATCAATGTTTGATGATAAGCATTACATTTACATTGTTAATTGGATTATTAAATTGTTATGATTGTTATAATAAGAGTAATAATTAAGTATAATGATGATTATAATAATAATACAAGTTTGACCACAGCTTCTTTACACAATTTGCTATGCAATTATATTATGTAATTAATGTAATCAAGATTTTTTTTGTTTGTTTTGTAACTCAGATTTGTATTTTGAGCTCCAGTACGACCTTTCACTAAAAAGTTTTATGCATATTCATTAATTGGCATTATTATGTATATTCATTAACAAGCAGTATTATGCATATTCATTAATGAGTAGTGCTTTACATATTCATAAATGATGTGAATGATGCATATTCATTGATGAACGTTAGTATATATAACTATTCATTAATGCATATTCATTAATGAGCATGAGTGTTTTATATATTCATAAGTGAGAGAATGATGCATATTCATTTATGAACAATAATATATACATGACTATTCATTTATGATCATTACAATGCATATTCAATAAATAAGCAGTTACATGCATATTCATTAATGCATTTGCATTTTCAGTAATGAGAAATAATGTTATTTGAATTTACAGTGGGTTGATCAATTGTTGCCCTTATGCAGATTATGTACACATTTTTATGTTAGCCTTTCACCTCCTGAAACAGAAATTTACTAGCCTTTGACACCAGTATAGAGCCAGGGTGCTTGTACATGCTTGCAATCTGGCCAAACTCTATACTTTTAATATTTTGATATTGAAATCCCTAAAAACACTGAATTGACTATTCCAAATTCAAAGCAGGGCAAATCCATTTCACAAATTCAGCTGGTGAAGGGTTAATAACTTACTTGTAAGCTTTATAGTGAAAGGTCATTCAGGAACTTGACTTCACAAGTTGTTAAGGATTTTTTGGAAGGTGGAAAGTCGTATAAATACATTGTTTTGAAATGAGTATAACTGACTTACTGACATAACCTGATCTTTATTTTGTGTAATCTTAGCTTGTCTATTGCAGAGAAAAAGTTGAGCTAATATGATGGCTAAGTTGTCATTGCAAAAATTAAATGCACCCCATTCATCTTTGAAGATATGTTTATCATGACATTGTGCAGTTTGTAAACAAGGGGCATTATTCTGAAAGCTATATCTTTAGAGTTAAGCCCCTTTTTGTATCAAAAATGTTTATGAAAAGTTGTTGCCCTTTAACACTGACCAGCATTAATACTGTATGCTGTACTCTTGCTTTTACTTCACAATATATTGATAATGTATTGTCAGTCAATAAAATCGAAGCATTTCTAATCAATGTATTTATATACCTGTCTTCTGCCTTATTATCTAAAAATATCTATACTTTTCTGTTGTTTTTTTTTCATTGTTCTTTTTTTCTGCATTTAAGTGCTAATGTTTTATACTTAACCTTGTGTTTTATAATCCTTTCTTTTCAGGTTTATGGTATAAGAGCTTTATATCATAATTGTTGTTTTTATTTTGTTATTGTTAACTAAGAGTTTTTGTGTGTTTTTTTCCATCCAACGAAAGGAAAATTTTTGGTGCAAAAATGATTCGAGACATGCTTTAGATCTACTTTATAAATTTATTTTCGATCTTTATTTGTTGACCAGTATTATTTTGTTCTATGGACATTTTTCTTGTTTTCCTTCTTTCTAAATCAAAGGGTGGTCACTATTATATTCTCTCCCTCATACTTTACTTTTACAGTGTTTTATTTGTTTTAATGATTTTTTTCTTCTCTTGCTTTGTTGCTTTGAAGTTTTGAATTGGTCATTTGTTAATTGAACAGAATTCTTATAAGAAGTGATTGCAGTCAACTGTACAGTATCATTCTGACCAGAGACTGCATGAACGTGCAGGTTGGCTCGGCTCTATACTAGTGTGGCAAACGTAGAATGGCTGGGACTCTACTTGCATTTTAATTTGCTGGTTATTTCCAATTCTTAGAATGTCTGGGACTCTAATTGCTTTTTTAATGTGCTGCGTATTTTTCAACTACTTAAATCTGAAATACAATGTATATAGTAAAAGCTCGAGATCAATATAATTTTGAATTATGTTATTGACATGTTACATGCATACCATAGTGACACAAAATTTTATGTAAGATGAGAGAATGTGACTTCTATTCTACATTCATTTGTTAGGAAAAATTCAAATTTAAAGCAGCCTTCCTGCAGATTTTCTTAATTAAGATTAAAACAACCTGTGTGTAGGTTATGTTTATTTAAATTAAGGCAGCCTGTCTGTAGATTATCTTGTTTTAACTTAAAGCAATCTAACTGAAGATTATCAGAATTAAATTAAAGCAACCTGCCTGCAGATGATTTTAATTATATTTAAAGCAGCCTGCCTGTAGATAATCTTAATTTAACTGAAAGCAGCCTTCCTACAGGTTATCTTACAGTATTTCAATTTGAGAAGCCTACTTGAAGATGATTTTGAAAATTGAAACTTTTACTAAGTCTTAAAAACCTTATTTCAAAAATTAAGAATCTAAAGGGGAGGAAAATGACAGTTCAGAATTATTTAAAAGAATATTTGGATAAATCTTGTAAAATATTCTAGGTAAAATGGATGTGGTCAATTTTAAAAAAGAATTTAACAGCATGTCTATTTTTGACAAATTATTTTCTACTATGTTTGTTCTCCTAAATAAGAATTTTTGTAACAATGGTGTTGGATATATATACCTGTATGTACACAAAATGTTTGTTTTGCCATTTTTAGTCGAGTTAGTGGTGTTGTACTCACCTTGACTACGTGGTCACACTAGTTAAGTTTTCGCACACAAGTTGGTATCACCAAAACTTCTAAAGGGAATGGGTTGAAACTTCACCGTGAGTGATATATCTTTCGTGACAGGCACAGGTCCTATAACTATTGAGTTATTATTTCACAGAGTTATGCCCCTTTTCTAACTGTCTATGTACAGAGAATAGTCAAGCACGCTGTCTTACGGACAGCTCCTATTTTGTTGGATATATGAAAAAATTACTTGTAGAGTTTTCCTCTTATTTTGTGGGATATATGAAAAAATTACTTTGAGTTTTCCTCTAATTTGGTGGGATATAAGAAAAAAATACTTTGATTTTTCCTCTTATTTTGTGGGATATATGAAAAAAATACATTGAATTTTCCTCTTATGTTGTTAGATGTATAAAAAAAAATACATTGAATTTTCCAGAATATTGTAATTTTGAAATATACATGAATGGCTGATGCTTAAAGTCTCTATCACAATCAAAATTCTAGTCTAATATACCTCTTTTGTATACAAATAAATCCATACTGTTCATAAGTTTTCAATATTTTGTAAAGTAATTTTTTGTCTGAAAGTAATAAATGAAGTTTTTTTTAAAAAAACTATAGAATACTGCATGTTTTTGTTGGAGCGTAAAATAAAATATTGTTTGTTTGCCACTTCATGACCAACATTTTTGTTAGCTAGTTCAAATTTCTTTTTCTTTTTTAAAGGGACACCACTGAGTTTTTTTTTGACATGACAGGACTGGAAATATTTTTCAAGATTATTACTCCATTTGATGTAGGTCAATACCAACAACTTATGTGCAAAATTTCAGATCATTGCTAAGCTCGCTCTGTTTTTCCAGAATAATTATTCTAATTGTCAAAAATGACCCAAAATTGAAAAGCGTTGCTCCGCTTTTCACTTAAATCGGACTGAGAATAGCACAAATATACAATTTTCAATGTATTTCTGAGTATATTTTTAAGTTATATTTTATTTACATGTCTGTTTTTAAGTGCCCTAGTTGATATATGTGAGAAATTAAATTTTTTTATGTTTTTAGGCTTATAAACCTCAGTGGAGTTATAATGAAATAATTTTTGTTACTGGGAATCAAGAGTGCCTGAAAAGAACATTTTAAAGGTAACCATATAAAGCAAAACAAATATACAAATACATGTACATTTTTGTATAGAAACACGAGATGGTTAATCATTCAAATATCAAAATCCTACACACATTGAAAGATATGATAATATTTTTCCTTGTCTAATCTTAACTATTGTTATACATAGGTCAAATATTTTGATACGATATATATATGATAGGGAACAAATTACTTGTGTATGGACCTGTACCAAAAATGTACATGTTTGAAGTGGCAAACAAACAATGTTTTTTGTAAGTTCGGCCTTGTGTCTTTAGAGCAGCTAAATAATTGTAAATTGTGTTGATTTGATTTTATATATACGACTAAAATTATTTGATATGTATGTATTCATATCCGTTATTAATGGGGTTGTTTTACCTAGATTTGTATACCAGTAAACATTTGTTTATATATATCACTATTGCTATGTCATAATATAATGAACGATAAAAAAATATATGCCTTTGTTGTATATATGCATGTATTATATCAAATTTATTCTCCTAGAAGTTAATTTGTTTTAGAGACGAAGTCTTTTTAAAAAAAAATACCCCAAAACCCAAAATAAAAAAAACCCCGTTTAAGGGAATAAATCAATATAACATTTTAGAAAAGAACAAACATAAAAACTTTCAAAATTGTCAATTAAACCTTAAAAGAAAGGAAAAATTAACATAAAATGAAACTTTAATTTTTGGTAAAAACCGTTTCGGTTAAATAAAACTTTTAAAATTTTTTAGAGCAAAAAAATTTTTTTAAAAACCCTTTTAAAGGGGGGCCGTAATTATTAAGAGCGAAATAATAAAAAATAAAACCCCCCCCTTTGGAAAAATAAATCAAAAAACCCTTTAAAGCAGCAAATCCCAAAAAAGCCTTTAAAAATTTTTTCAATAAAATTTTTTGAGCGGGAAAAATTTTTCAGAAAAAAAACATAAAGTTAAAAACCCCAAGAAAAGCGAACGTTAAAACCCCGATTAGCCGATAATTTTAAAAAGTAAACAAAGTAAAAAACATTTTAAAAAAATTAAAAAAAAAACCAAAAAAAAACAAAAAACCCTTATGGCCATATTAAATTAAAAAAAATTTTAGAAGAAAGAAATCAAGAAAACCCCTTGGCAAATAAATTTTTTACCAAAAACTGTTTGAGCAAAAGATAACAAAAATTAAAAACCCTAAAATAAGTAAAAAAAAAAAACCCCCCCAACATTTTTTTGCAAGAAAACCCGTACCAGCGAAATTTCCGAAAGGGCCAAAGCTAACCACAAAACCCCTTTAAAAATATAAGAAAAAAATGCCCGTAAGAAAAGTAAGGGAAATCCCTTTTAAAAGGGAAAATTTACCATAAAAAAGTTAGAAAAAAACCCATAAAAAAATTAGACGGAGATAAAAAAAAAAACCAGAGCAGATTTTTAAAATGGTTGAGACCGTTTGGGCACTTCCCCCCTTGGGCCCCCTAACTTTCCGAAAAAACCCAATTTGACAGAATAATAATCGATCTTCCCCCAAAAAACCCAAAACCAATGTGAAGCAATTTTTCTTTTTTTTTGTTTTAAGTTAAAAAAAAAAATTTTTCTCTTTTTTATACTTTTTTTTTTTATTATTTTTTAATTTTTAAAATTATCATTAAAGGTAATTTTTAAATAATTAACGAAAATTTTTTAAAATTTTTTTAAAAAAACCTATAAACTAAATTTAAAAAAATTTTTTAAAATTTTTTTTATTCTTTTTTTAAATAAAATTTTTTTATAATGTTTTTTGGGATTTTAAAATTTTAAATAAAAATTCTTTTTTTTAAAAACCAATTTTTGAATTTTTTCAAACAATAAAATGCCCTTTTTAAAAAAGGGGCTTTTTAAAAAATTTTTTTCCCCAATGTTTAAAAACATTTTTTCTTTTTTTTTTTAAAAAATTTTGAAATTTTTTTTTTTTTTTTTTTTTAACAAAATATTTTTTCCCCTTTAAAATTTAAATTTCCCCAAAATTTCCCAAATACAAAGTTTATTTTTTAATAATAAAAACATAAATTTACCTTCCCTTTTTAGTTTAAAAAACTTTCTTTTAAAAAAAAATTTTTTTTTTAAAACAAAAAATTAAAAAAATATTTTAACTTTTTCCCTTTTTAAATCAAAATTACTTTAAAAATGTTAAATTTGGTTCTTTTACTAAAATTCCCAAAAAAAAATTTTTTCCCCAAAAATTTTTTGTTTTATTTGTAATATTTTTAGGGGTAACTTTATTTTTGGTTTTTTTTCCCAGGTTTTATTAAAATAAAAATTTTTGGCTTTTAACTTTTTTCAGTTTTTGACAAAAAAATTGAAAAATTATTATTTTTTTCAAAGTAAAAACCTCAAAACCCCCGGGGAAAAAAGGGTCTTTTAAATTTTAATTTTTGTAAAAAACCGGGGGACCAAAGTGCCCCCTTAAATATTTTAAATTTTTTCCCATTTTTTAAAAATTGACTTTTACCAAAAAAATTTTTTTTCAAATAAATATTCAAACCCTTTAAAAAAACCCCCGTTCCCTGTTTCGGTTTATTATAAAAGGGGTTTAAAAAAAACATACGTTTTTTTAACCCAAAAAAAAAAAAAAAATTCCCTCCCGTTTTAAAAATTTTAATTTTTAAATTTTCAGGTGGGTTTTCCCTTTTGAAAAATGCAGAAAAAAAATTTAGGAGGGTTTTGCCCTTTTGGAAAATCCCTTTTCTTTAAAAACCCCCATTTTTGTTTAAAAAATTTTTTAGGGGCCGGGGTTTTTATTTTTAAAACCTTTTTGTTTTTGGGAAAGAACATTTTTTTAAAACCAATCAAAAAACTTTTTTTTGTTTTTTTTTTAAAGGTTTTTTCCCCCCTTTTCCCTTTTTTCGTTTTTTTAAAAAAAACCCCCTTTTTCCCCCCTTCCCCCTTTTACCCTTTCATTTTTTTGGCTTGTTTAAAGGAAAATACCAACCCCTTCTTTAACGAAAGTTTCCCCCTTAAATTGTCGAAACAAATATGCCCAAATTTAACGGGAAAATGTTTCAAAATCCCCCCAAAATTTTTCGGATTTCAAAAAAATTTTTTGAAAAAAAATTTAAATTTTTTTTAAAAAAAAATTTAAAAACTTAGGTTCTTTTTCCCAAATTTTGTCCTAATTTCCAAAAAATCAAATTTTTTTAAAATCAAATTTTTTTTCTACTTTGCCCCTTTTATTTTTTTTTTTTTGGGAAATTTTTTTAAAAATTTTTTAAAAAAAATTTTTTTTCCCAAAATTGAATTTTTTTAAGCAATATAGCTAGAAATAATAGCAAAACATTGAGACTTTCCGTAATTGTCCGGGTTATATTTTTCTGCTGCCACATCCAGTACTGACGGACATACACGTTCCCCACATAAAATTTTTGATATCACGTAGGCATCCTTTGCCTCTGAAGATAGTGCGGCGAAGTGTTGCTTTTCTTCCATCGAGGCTGATACTGAACAGACACCTGCTCGTAATGAACTTTTCCTGCTTTCACTTTTTTTGAATAGTATCATAATAAATTCACTTTTGCTTGCCGAAGTGATAGATTTATCACTATACAATTTAGGATCACTATGACGACGGATTTTGAAAGCAGGTACAATGTCTATTTTTACTGCTGTCTTTTTATCTTTCAGCAAAAACCCCCTTAATTAATTTGAATTTTTCGAATTGTAGGGGACAAATCCATTTTCACATAAAATATGTTTGGATGTGTATATGTGTCAGGTTCCTGTAAAACTTCATTTATGATATCAAAAATCCGTTTGAGCAGTTTTAAAGGGATAAAATAGTCATTGAAACCAGATTCGAAAAACCGATCAAACACACCACCTCTGTAGTTTTTTTGCTAAGTTTAAAAATGTTTGGGCTGACTACATTTTTATGTATCATTTCAGAATTTTTATTTGTAAACATATAAAAACAAATTATCTGGAGCCCCAACTTTCTTTTCAGCGCACTGCCAGTAAAATTTCCTGTTTTTCAGAATTTATCTTTTTTCCCAGTCTTTTTCATATAAGTTTCAAATTCTGTAATACGATTTGACTTATTTGCTTCTTTTTTAAAACGTACAAGTCCCAAAAAAAGGAAATTCATGATTTTCTAATGTTTTTCTGAAGAAAATATTTAGAAAGCTTTACACATTTTGTAATGCTTCTCTTTTCCTTCAGAGAAAATTAAAACCCCCGGGGTTTTTGATAGAGATAGGTTCCTGTTTGTAACTCCTTTTACAAAAACAAAATGTGAAAATATTGGCGTGGCCCTTTAAAAAAACAACATCCCCAAAGGGGGCGTCCTGGGTTATCTTTAAAAAATACAGCATTTAGAAATTTCCCCAAAAGTCCCTATGAAGTACATGTGTTGATGATAGCTCTCGGAGTGTCCCTTGCTTTTCCAGCTATGTTAGTGGTAATAAAATACTCCCAAAAATTGTTCCTGTTTACGATGATCATCTTATTGTCAAAAACTTTATTTAAAGAGTTTAAATTAAAAAATATGTCTTTAAAATGTAACATGACCGCTGTTTGTCCAATTCTGTTACACGTATTAGTATCACTTCCTGATACTTTTAGAAATTGTAAATAATCTGTGTCAGAAATCGTGCTTTCCGTGTAAGGCAAATCATGTAATGGAACAATGAAAATCTCTGACTCTCCAAATATACTTCGAACGTTTACTTTCGAACCTCTTTTTACTGCGATTTTTGCCAATTCATGATAGGACCAATACACAACCATCAGAAAATGCAAAACAGTTTCTCCTAAGCTGTTTCTAGAGTTTATATTTGTCCCAGCCTTTAAAAACAGTTCAAATACAGTTCTAGCGTACTCAGAATCAAGACAATCTTGAAAGACAAGATGAAGAGGTGTATTGCCAACTCTGTTCTTAGATTCCAAGATGGCTTTCCTTGTTTCAGGGGGACAGTTTTTGTATTTATTTTCCAAAATACTTTTCAATAATGAAATATCAATCTTTTCACCTTGAAATTCTTCCCTTGAAAAATGTGAATTGATCAAAGTATGGAGAAACGTGTTTCCGTATTCATCACAAAGTAACAAACCTGGCTGTTGTAAGTCTTCGCCAAATTCTGAAAATATTAATTCGAGGGTCTTTTGATTTTTTCTTGCTGCAATGTGCAAGGGTGTTTGTCCAAACATGTTTTGTATCGTAAGATAATATGAAAACTCGCCTCGCTTTTTCCGAGTAAGTGGCCATATATTTCCGTCTGAATTGCTAGTACACTTGAGATGCCAGAGATGGAATTGCTTTACAAATAAATGAAATATTGTATTTCCGTACACATCTCTATATGAAGTAAAGTGATGATTCAATTTAAATGCACTTAGGAAGTTGTCTTTGTTAAAGTAAAATACCCACAGTAGGATCCTTTCGCGAACACTTATGAGTTTGTCTCACTTAACTAGTAAGCTGACGGCTCGCACCTCATTTAGCAATATCTTCAATACATAATCTTCGAAGGTTGGCTGTCTCATACAGAATGTCATGGAAATGTGTTGTTCCATATGCTGAAGGATTTATTATTGGCCGTATTCTATTGGCCTCCAATTTCCACTTTTCACATAGATGCCTCTGTTTGACAGGTTCAATTTTTTCCAAAATCCTTGGCAACCAGTCATTTATATGATAGAGCCGAACCTCACCTGATTTAGTTTTCTATGTTGAATATCCTGTATAACTGCCATATCTCCTCCGTTCAAGATCCCCGAATTTTCTAACTCTGCGTTTAATAGTACAAGGCAAAGGGTGGCAATGCCGTTTCTCCTTCATCATTTTGTTCATTTACATCTGCACCTACTTCTATCAGTTTCTCAATAAGTTGAACGTTACCAGGTATCATAGCGGCATGATGTAAAGCAGTATTACCATCCATATCTTTTAGTTTTATGTCAATATTAGCATCAATTAGTAAGGCCGCTATTTTATTTATCAATTGGTGATACTTGATCGAATCATATTTCATTCCTGTATAGATATCCGATTCATCGCGAATTATCAAAAAGAAATTATCAAATCTTTGTAATAAGGTATGAAGTGGGTTAGACCCAGACCTACTTGCAATATTCACATTAGCGCCAGCTTCTATTAATATCTTAACCTTTTCCTCGTCCTTGTATGAACATGCTATATGTAAAGCAGTTAATCCGTATGAATTTTGTAAATTAAGATCTGCTCCTGCCCTTATTAATGCATTAAGACAACCGTTTGTGTAAAGTTCGGCAGCTAAAATAATAGCAGAATATCCTTCCTCGTCTTGTATATTTAATTCGACGCCCCTTTTTATAAGTATTTCAACAATTTTTTCATGTCCGTTTCTTGATGCAAAATGGAGTGCTGTTTCTTTCTTCTCAGATTGAGCGTTTATGTCAGCTCCTGACCTAACTAGAGTTTCCACAATGTTTGTGCATCCTAAATGAGAAGCATAATGAAGAACAGTGAAGTTTTCTTGAAATGACAGAGAGGTGGATTGTAACAATGTTTCCACAATATCATCGTTCCGACAACGTGATGCAAAGTCAATCAAATTAAAACTTTTATCATCAACGTCAGCCATACGAAAGTGAATCGGCAACATATCCCGGCTTCTTTTTGATGTTGATATATAAATTATGATATCTTCAATACAAAGTGTTCTCAGTAACATTTCTTGAAGAGTTTTTATACAACTTCCACTTTCCATTATTTTTACTTTTAGTACAGAAGATTAAACATTTTAACTTATTCATATGAATTACATCTTATGTTGTGCTGATATGTCACTTAAGTTCTGTTGATATATCATACTTCTGCTTGATTTGAATATTTCATTGCAATTTTATCATACATGTATTTTGATTTGTATTAATGTGAAACAGTCTTAAATATAACCAAAATTGAATTTCAATGTTTTATCCATATTTTTTCATCGTAAATTTAGATATGCACCGCTTATTCCGCATACGTAACAATCACTGTATAATCATATCCAGCTTTCAAACCAATGTGTCGTGTTACCGCTTGATATCTTATGTATGTTATCTATTTTTCTAATGCTTGGGCAAAACATTCAACGGATCGATTTCTATTTCTTAATCTAGCCTATTAATCTTATTGGATTCAATTTAACGCCATTTATACAAATCAGTGTTCGGGGGGAACACTCCACTCGTCCACCGCACTAACATATCCAAGTTACCATTAAAAACATATTAGTCCGCGTCATATGAGTTGTTACTTTTGACCATTTATATAGTACAAATCCCGAGATTACTCGGGATTTGTACCATGGGTTTCAACGGCTGGCTGAAAAAGGTGAAAACCGTAAGATTTAATCACACGCCAGGGGATAAGATGCAATAATATGTTTTTAAACATGAACATTATCACTACATTGTTTTCTTTTTACAAGAAAACGACATGTTTCATATTATTATTATATTATTGTTTATTACTTATGGGGAGAGGATGCAATTTGAGAACGTTTTGCGAAATAATTGGTTGGCCACCCCTATACAACAAAGTAATTTTTGTGTGTCAAGTATTTCATTCTCCAAGCAAAATCACAACTTTGCATGAGAAGTCAATTTTAAGGTAGCTTTGGTGATCATTTCTTCAAATGTACATACCTGTAAATTACAAAACAATTATCAGTTTCTGCATCGTGTTTTCTTTATTTTTCTTGTCATTTCGTGTCTTCAAATTTTACGTCTTCATACTATTTAGTTTACGTACCTTTGCGTCTTCGTCATCGTCATTTGTTTTTTATAATCGTTCTTTTCCTGTTTAAGTCGTTGTTTTTTCAAGTATTGGCGCTTCAGGTGATTTCATTAAGAGTCATATTTTTTGTGATATAGAATGGTAAATTAGTTCATCGCGTTTCCAAAAGGATAGCAATTAAATACCAATGAAGATTAAGGGTGGGCTTATTCAGCAAAATATGTGTGAAGTCAATACTAATATTTCGTGAATGCCCCATACGCTTTTGTGGCACTTTACTACCATATTTATTTCTTACAAGCATTTGGAAGTATTCTTTTTCTGATGTCTTTTGCAGCAGATATATACTGAAGCTTTATACACTTTAAGGTGTATACAATTGCCAAATATTCAATACAAAGTTTCATGCTGTTTCATATTGTCATTTTCATATACATAATATTGATACCACATGTATATTGTCAAGTGCTGCTCAGTCCTGAACTTCGTCAAATAGGCACGCATGCAGTGGTCGTGTCTAAATGCGTATTTTATATAATAAATCTGTTTATACAATTGACAGGAAATTTATCGTAATCTTTTGAATTGATAAAAGCAAGACTCGAAACCTCAATGATTTATCAGCATTTTGTTGTTTACCTTTTACGAATTTAAAAAAAAAAATTCCCCGTTTGAGGCTGAAGTATGCTGTGCTCCTCTTAGTTCACGGTGCACAAGAAGGAAAACAAAGAATTGACTTACGGTACAAAGAAATAAGATGTAACAATTAGATATTTTCTGCTATATGACACATAGAAACAAAATCATATTCAATCAAAATCAGATTAAATGGCATAGGTCGGCCATTCTGAAAACAGTATGTCATCATTTAAATCGCGATAAATTTTCATGCCTCAGTTAAAGTTACTAAATGTTATATTATTAAAACTTTCCCTAGTTAGTAACACGAAATTAATTTTTCAATAAATAATTTTTTTTTAGAAAGTAATGATTGTTTAATTCAGACGTATGCACATATTTTAAAGTACTATTATGTCTTTCTGCAGAAATGAGTAAAATGCTGTTCAGTTTTATGTAAAATTCTACAGATTTAAAAGATTTTGCACAAAAACTTTGTTGTTTACATGTATGACTAATTGCTTGTATGTCAATTTTGACAAATTTTAACACTAGTGACATGGAACATGATCAATAATCGTGAATTAAGTGATGTTAGTGTTATTACGACGTAAAACTTACAAATAGTGGATATTGTTTACATTTTGATTTTGATCATCCCAACTAAAGTTCAGACCTTCTTTAAGCATAGCGGTACTTTATTTAGGGGCTGAATTTTATCAGATTGCTTCCTAACACGCCACGGTCTTTATCTAACTGAATCAACAAGTTAACGAACAATATTAAACATTATATCGAGTATTTGACAATAAATTAAAGATTGAGTCTAGACGAATTGATTCATGATTTATCAAAGTTAAATACCGTCTAAATGCCCCTTTTTATGAGCAGATTTTAGAGAAAAAGATAGATCTTTAAATTTATTACATTTTGATTGCCAATCGGTTAGCTATAAGTGACTACATGTACACATTGCACTGTCAGATTTATTTTTCGATACACACCTACCTAGTTATGTGACATTTATTCAAATAGATATTTTTTTTTCTATAATCATATTAAAGTCTATCTTGACGTCATCAAAATCATCGATTTTCACTGTTATCAATATCTTATGCCTTATCATAGCAGGAGTGATTACAAACACAAACACTACGTCATTTTTTGAACCAAAAAAAAAATATAAATAAATAAAAAAAAAAAAAATGAAATTCAAAATTCTCAAACAGTACTGATAACATTTCTCAAGGTATGGAATTCAGTGTCACGTTTCCCCCTGATAAACGTCAGATAAATTATGCAGGCTTTGCTTAATAGGGGTCATCCCTTTTCCAGTATTTAAAAATTTCACAATTTTTGTGTTTAAATCTTAAGCCGGTGCTAGGGGTGTGGACGGTAACCTGCATTTTCCAGTACCGTCCATGAACAGCCATGATCAAACTGAGCCTGCAACCTTTTCAGTTTTGTTGTTTTGGACGTTCTTTAGGGATTCTGTTTTTGCCCTATTTTATATTTTCGTATTTGAAGAAATCCCGTTTGTTGACCCTGTCACGTCATACTCATCATTCCTTTTTTGAGACAGTTGTTTATAATGGTAATCACAAGCTGGTTTATGACGTTCAATGTTTTTTTCCTTACATTCGTCGCTACAATATGTCCAAAGTTTACATCTGGAACATGTTCTAAGAATAACCTTATCTTCTTCTGGACCTTTCTTACAGTTTGCACACATATTATTATTTTTGATAAAGGTTAAGGTACTTAGAGTTTTGATTTCCCGGAAAGTATGTAGCCTAATTTCATCAAAATCAACATTTTTGCCTAGAATGTTCAGAATTAATTTTGCATACATAGCTCTTAGCTTACACGCTTGGTTACTTCTCTCCAAGGCTGAGTCATGATTTGTAAACAAATTGATGTCAGGGAACATGTAACATGGAAAGTTTCCCTGATTTGCAAATTGTAAAAGTTTCTGAAATATTTCACAAACGTAAGTATGAACTGTAACTGGCAAAAACGTAACTGACTGCCTTTGTAGTTCCTCAACAGCATAGAATAGACAATTTTTTAACATATAGCTAGAAATAATAGCAAAACATTGAGACTTTCTGTAACTGTCCCGGTTACATTTTTCTGCTGCAACATCCAGTACCGACGGACATACACGTTCCCCACATAAAATTTTTGATATCAGGTAGGCATCCTTTGCCTCTGAAGACAGTGCGGCGAAATGTTGCTTTTCTTCCATCGAGGCTGATACTGAACAGACACCTGCTAGTGATGAACTTTTCCTGCTTTCACTTTTTCTGAATAGTATCATAATAAATTCACTTTTGCTTGCCGAAGTGATAGATTTATCACTATACAATTTAGGATCACTATGACGACGGATTTTGAAAGCAGGTACAATGTCTATTTTTACTGTCATGTCTTTATATCTACAGCAACACCACCTTAACTTTAATTTGAAGTTTGGCGAATTTGTAGATGACCGAAATCCATTCTTCACATAAAATATGTTTGGATGTGTATATGTGTCAGGTTCCTGTAGAACTTCATTTATGATATCAAAAATCCGTTTGATAAGTTTTAAAGACATGAAATTACCATAGATATCAGAGTCGAAAAACCGACTACACACATCCCCTATGTACTTTTGCTTAAGTTTGACAATTCCAGTTTTACTATATTGTTCTATGTCAATCATTTCAGACATATGTTTTAGTAAGCATATGAAATCAAATTCATCTGGTAGCCCAACTTTCGTATTTTCAGCGACACTGCCAGATAAAATTACCTGATTTTGCAGTAATTTATCTTTTTCTCCGAGTCTTTTGCATATATAGTTTACAAATTCTGTAATAGCCGATTTGACTTTATTTGCTTCTTTATTAAATCGTACAAGTCCTAAAAATGGAATATTCATGATATTTCTAATGTTATTCTGAAGAAAATATTCAGAAAGACTGTGTACACATTTTGTAAATGCTTCATCTTTTTCCTTCAGAGAATTAATCAGCAGGTGTCTGTGATAGAAGATAGGTTCCTGTTTGTGAACTCCATTTTTACAAATACAAATCTGCTGAAGAATATTGGCGTGGCCTCTTAAAAAAGCAACATCGCAAGGGAGCTGTCCGTGATTATCTTTAACAGGGCAGCATTTCGAAATTGCCGCAATGTCCGTATGAAGTACATTTGTGTTGATATAGCTCTCATTTTCTTGTTTCCAGGCTATATAGTGTAATAAATTACTTCCAAAATTGTCCTGTTTATTGATGATCATCTTATTGTCAAAAACTTTATCTAATGAGTTTACATTGAAAAATATGTCTTTACAATGTAACATTGCCGCTGTCTGTCCCATTCTGTTAAACGTATTAGTATCAATTCCTGATACTTTTAGAAATTCTAAATAATCTGTGTCAGAAATCGAGTCTTCCCAATGTAATGGAACAATGAAAAGCTCTGATTCTCCAAATATATTTCGAAAGTTCACTTTCAAACCTTTTTTTATTGCAGTTTTTGCCAATTCACTATAGGGCCAATACACAACCATCAGAAAATGCAAGACAGTTTCTCCTAAGCTGTTTCTAAGGTTTATGTTTGCCCCAGCCTTTAAAAACAGTTCAAATACAATTTGAGCGTACATAGTATCAAGACAATCTTGAAAAACAAGATGAAGAGGTGTATTTCCAACTATGTTTATAGATTCTAAGAGGGCTTTTCCCCGTTTCAGGAGGAATTTTTTTTATTGTTTCCCAAAAATTTTCAAAATAAAGTTATATCTTTCCACGTTGAACTTTTTTCCCTTGAAAAAATTTTGAATTGATCAAGTTGGAGAAAAATGTTTCCGTATTCATCACAAAGAAAAATGGTTGTTTTAATCTTTTTGCCAATTTGAAAAATTAATTCGAGGTTTTTGTTTTTTCTGTGCAAAAATGCAAAGGGGGTTTTTTCCAAATTGTTTTTGTGTCGTAAGATAAAAGAAAACTGCCCCGTTTTTCCGAAAAAAGTGGCCCTAAAATTTTCCCCTTTAAATTTACACCAAGATACCCGAGATGGCTTTTCTTTTTTAAATAAATGAAATATTGTATTTCCGTACACATCTCTATATGAAGTAAAGTGATGATTAAATCTAAATGCACTTAGGACGTTGTCTTTGTTAAAGTAATGCAGTGGATCCTTTCCTATATTGTCCTTAATTGTAAGTAAAGCTCCATTATTCAGCAATTTTTCAAAAACTTCTAAGTTGGCTGTCGTACAAATGTGATGGAATGCGGTTTTTCCCGAATTATTTTGTCTATTTATTTCAATTCCACTTTCAATAAGCACTTTGACAGGTTCAATTTTTCCCCAAACCCAACACATAAAGAAAGAGCGGAAACACCGTATTTTTTCATGTTTTATCTGTTTTGCACTGTAAGACCGAATTTTTCTAAATTTGTTTTACGTAATGCTAAAGGGAATGCCCTTTCCTTGATCATTTTTTTCATTTACACGCCCTATTTTTATCAGCTCAATGTTGAGTTAAAATTTTAGCGGGGGAAATTTTTCGCATATTAATAATATTTTTTATTTTATGTAATTTCTAAAATGTAAGGCCCCTTTTATTAAAACATTTTGGGAAACTTGATTTAATTTAAAATTTGTAAAAAGGTATGAAGTGGTTTGTTCAAAAACCGCTTTCAAAATTCATTAGCGCCCGCTCTATTAATATTAACCTTTTCCCCCTCCTTGATTAAACAGCCCAATGTAAAGGGTTTAAACGACGTATGAAATCTTAAAAATTTAAATCGCTCCCCCCCTTATCAAAAGCATTTAAAAAATCGTTTTGTTAAATGGGAGCTAAAAAATAGCAGAATTCCTTCCCTTTCTTTGGGATTTTTAATTTGATGCCCCTTTTTATAAGTATTTCAACAATTTTATCATGTCCGTTTCTTGATGCAAAATGAAGTACTGTTTCTTTCTTCTCAGATTGAGCGTCAATGTCAGCTCCTGACCTAACTAGAGTTTCCACAATGTTTGTGCTACCTAAATGAGCAGCATAATGAAGAACTGTGAAGTTTTCTCCAAACGACGTATTTAACAGAGAGGTGTATTTTAACAATGTGTCCACAATATCATCGTTCTGGCACCGTGATGCAAAGTCAATCAAATTTAAACTTTCATAATGAACGTTAGTCATACGAGAGGTAATCGGCAACAGATCACGGCTTCTTTTTGATTTTGATATATGAATTATGATATCTTCAATACACAGTGTTCTCAGTATTATTTCTTGCAAAGTTTTTATACAACCTCGACTTTCCATTATTATTACTTTTAGTACAGAAGAATAAACAGTTGTACCGATACGTCACTTAAGTTGTGTTGATATGTCATGCTTCTGCTTGTTTTGAATTTTTCTTTGCAATTTTATCATACATGTTTTTTGAATTGTATTTACGTGAAACAGCCTTGTCTAAAAAAAAATTACCAACATTAAATTTCAATGTTTAATCCATATTTGTTCATCGTAAATTTAGATTTGCACCGCTTATTCCGTATTCATAACAATCACTGTAAATAATACCCCTCTTTCAAACCAGTGTGCCGTGTCTTATGTATATAAGCTTTGTTCTAATGTGTTGGCAAACATTCAAGATAGGATTTTTCTCTTATCTTATTGATCAATTTACTTTACAAATGGTCGGGGCAAAAAACTGCACTGTCACGATAATGTTAGTTACTAAATATAGTCGGCAAAGGGTAATTTCGCCCCACGTGCTCGTGTTCTATAGTAAAAGTCGGATAATCGGATTGTAACATGGTCAACGGCTGGCTGAAAAAGGTGAACACCGTAAGATTTTATCACACACAAGAGGATAACATGGAAATATGATGTTTTTAAACATGAACATGATCATTCCGTTGTTTTCACAAGAATACGACATGTTTCATAAGTATCTTGTATTATTTTTATCACTTGTGATATGCAGTAAGTTCAAATGGATAAAATGGGGAGAGGATGCAATTGCAATTTGAGAACGTTTTGCGAAATAATTGGTTGGCAACTCCTATACAACATAGTAATTTTTATGTGTCAAGTATTTTATCACATATTTTGCATAAAAAACCAATTTTAAGATAGCTTTAGTGATCATTTCTTGTAAGAATGGCTGTTCATAAATGTAAATGCCATAAACAAACGATTTGATAATTTAATCAAATAATTTAACAAAGGTGGCGTAAACCAAAGAAATGTATTTATCAAAGTGCATAAATACATGTCCGAAATACATAACTGATCAAAGGAAAGATACATGACGGTGAAACATAATGATTGACAACAATTACATGCAAAGGACAAAATAAACGCCTTGATAATATAAATAAACAATATAATATAAATTGTCAAAATTAAATACCAGTATTTTGCGCAAATGTGAATGCCATGCAAGTTATGCCTAAATAAAATATAAGTAATTAGTTGTTAGGAGGAACAGGTGAATGAAATGGGACTGATATAGGATGGTGGCTTGTATATCAGACTGTAAAGAATATAATCATAAATAATTCGACAATTTCACAAGATATATACAAATACGATGACAAAGTGACTCATCAAAATTCGTATTAAAATCGAATATCGACAACAGGACAGGTAAACAAAAAGATTAATAGTAATATAAAAGCAAACACACGAAAACTCGAAGAAAGTACGAATACGTACAAAAGTATGTAAACCCAAATTAAAAGTATGAAGACGAAATCTTGAAGACACGAAATGACGTTACAAATAAGCAAAAACAAATAAACCCCCCGAAAATACTATTAAGAAAATGCTTAAACACGTTGACAAAAACAGTTATCAGTGTCTGCATCGTGTTTTCTTTATTTTTCTTGTCATTTCGTGTCCTTCATACTATTTAGTTTTTTCAAGTATTGGCGCTTCAGGTTTTTCTTTAATTGTCATATTTTTTGTGATATAGAATGGTAAATAAGTTCATATATCATCGTTTCCAATAGGATAGCAATTAAACACCAATAAAGATTAAGAGTGGGCTTATTCAGCAAAATATGCGTGAATTCAATACTAATATTTCGTGTATTTTTACAAGAATTTGGAAGTATTCTTTTTCTGATGTCTTTTGCAGCAGATATATACTGAAGCTTTATATACTTTAAGGTGTATACAATTGCCAAATATTCAATACAAAGTTTCATGTTGTTTTATATACATAATACTGATACCACATGTATACTCTCACGTGCTGCTCAGTCCTGAACTTCGTCACGTAGGCACGCATGCAGTGGTCGTGTCTAAATGCGTATTTTATATAATAAATCTGTTTATACAATTGACAGGAAATTTATCGTTATCTTTTGAATTGATAAAAGCAAGACTCGAAACCTCAGTGATTTATCAGCATTTTGTTACTTTTTTTTAAAGAATTTTCCCCGTTTGAGGCTGAAGTAGACTGTGCTCCTCTTAGTTCACGGTGCTTAACGCTTTGAAACAAGAAGATAAAACAAAGAATGGACTTACGGTACAAAGAAATATGATGTAACAATTAGATATTTTCTGCTACCGGTATATGACACATAGAAACAAAATCATATTCAATCAAAATCAGATTAAATGGCATAGGTCGGCCATTCTGAAAACAGTATGTCATCATTTAAATCGCGATAAATTTTCATGCCTCAGTTAAAGTTACTAAATGTTATATTATTAAAACTTTCCCTAGTTAGTAACACGAAATTAATTTTTCAATAAATAATTTTTTTTAGAAAATAATGATTGTTTAATTCAGACGTATGCACATATTTTAAAGTACTATTATGTCTTTCTGCAGAAATGAGTAAAATGCTGTTCAGTTTTATGTAAAATTCTACAGATTTAAAAGATTTTGCACAAAAACTTTGTTGTTTACGTGTATGACAAAATTGACTGCATGTCAATTTTGACAAATTTTAACACTAGTGACATGGAACATGATCTATTACCGTGAATTAGCTGATGAAGCAAAGAAGCAAAATATGTTGATTATAATCATTGAAGGTGCAGGCACAGTAGAGCTGAAAATCGATATTTAACATTGACAGTGTTATTGCGACGTAAAACTTACAAATAATGGATATTGTTTACATTTTGATTTTGACCATCCTTACTACAGTTCAGTCCTTCTTTAAGTATTGAGAGACTTTATTTAGGGGCTGAATTTTATCAGAAAGCTTCCGAACACGCCGAGAATACGTAATCAATTGAAGTATGACGGAATGCTACGATTGCAGAAGATTTATATATTTATTTAAACCGACCTGAAATATTATATCTTTTCAATACCAATGTCTTTATCCAACAAAATCACAAATTAACATATTATCGAGTATTTGACAATAAATTAAAGATTGAGTCTGGACGAATTAATTTTCGATTTATCAAAGTTAAACATCTAATGTTACCTTTTAACAGCAGATTTTAGAGAACAATATGAATCATTTAACCTAGTACATATCAGTAAGATTACCAATCGGTTAGCTTGTACCCATTGCATTGTCAGATTTATTTTTCGATACACTCCTACCTAGTTATGTGACATTTATTAGATAAGTTTTCTATTATCCTATTAAATCTATCTTGACGTCATCAAAATCATTGATTTTCAGTGAAATCAATAAATCAATGTCTTATCACAGCAGGAGTGATTACAAACACTATATTGTTCTGTGATTCTTTTGAATAAAAATGAAATTCAAAATTCTCAAACAGTACTGATAACCAAGTCTAGATACATTTCTCAAGGTATAGAATTCAGTGTCAAGTTTCCCTCTGATAAAAGTCAGATAAATTATGCAGGCTTTGCTTCCTAGGGATCATCCCTTTTCCAGTATTTCAAAATTTCACCATTTTCGTGTTTAAATGTTGAATTCTGCTTAAGCCGGTGCTAGGAGGTGTGGACGGTAACCTGCACTTTCCAGTACCGTCCATGAACAGGCTCAATCAAACCGAGCCTGCAACATTTTCAATTTTGTTGTTTTGGACGTTCTTTAGGGATTCTGTTTTTTCCCTATTTTATTCTTTCGTATATAAGGAAATCCCGTTTATTGCACGACCTGTCACGTCATACTCATCATTCCTTTTTTGAGACAGTTGTTTATAATGGTAATCACAAGCTGGTTTATGACGTTCAAGGTTTCTTTCCTTACATTCGTCGCTACAATATGTCCAAAGTTTACATCTGGAACATGTTCTAAGAATAACATTATCTTCTTCTTGGCTTTTTTTACAGTTTGCACAGATATTATCATTTCTTTGACATGCATATGCAAATATATCTAACTCACCCACAACTGTAATTGTCCCAGAAGTGTGTAAATTCATACCGTCAAAATCAACACTTTTGCCAAGAATGTTTAAAATTAATTTTACATACATAGCTCTAACCTTACACGCTTGATTACCTTCCCCAAACACTAAGTTATCATTTGTAAACAAGTCGATGTTAGGCAACATATAACATGGAAATTTTCCCTGATTTGAAAATTGTAAAAGTTTCAAAAATATTTCGCAAACGTACGTATAAACTGTGATTGGCAAAATAGAATTTGACTTCTTTTGTAGTTCATCAACAACATAAAATAAACAATTTTTTAACATATAGCTTGAAATGATAGTGAAACATTGACTCTTTTTATAATTGTTTATACTATCACCAATCATATCTGCTCTCACATCCGTTACAGACGGACATACGCGTTCACTACATAAAATTTTTGATATCACATATGCGTCTCTTGCTTCTGAAGGAAGTGCAGAGATACGATTATTTTCCTCCAAAACGGCAGTTTCTGAACAGACACTCACTGAAAAGACACTAAATCTTATAATTTTGATATCACGAACTATTTCATTGTCTATGAATTTTACCATCACAAATTCACCATTGTTTGTCGCAGGATTAAATATATCAGAAGACAAATTTGCACCTGATGGACAATGAATTTTAAAAGCAGGCACAATGTCTATTTTTACCGTCATGTCTTTATATTTACAGGAACACCATCTCAACTTTAATTTGAAGTTGGGGGAGCGTTCAGGTCTTCGAAATCCACCCTTCACATAAAATATGTTTGGATGGGAATATGTGCCAGACTCATGTAAAACTTCGTTTAAGATGTCAAAGATCCTGTTGAGAAATTCTGAAGCAATAAAAATATTATCATTAGGGTCAAAAAACCGACTAGACACATCCCCTCTGTACATTTCCTGAAGTTTTACATGAATGTCAGTCTTATGATGTTGCTCTATACAAAGCAACTCGGACATTCTATCCAGTAAGCATATAAAATCAAATTCATCCGGTAGTCCAACTTTTGTATTTTCAGCGACACTGCCAGATAAAATTACTTTATTTTTCAGTAATGTATCCTTGTCTCCGAGTCTCTTGCATATATAGTTTACAAAATCTGTAATAGCTGATTTGACTTCACTTGCTTCTTCTTTAAATCTTACCAGTCCTAAAAAAGGAATATTAACGATATTTCCTATGTTATGCTCAAGACAGTATTTAGAAAGATCGAATATACATTTTGTAAATGCTTTGTATTTTTTCTTCAATTCACAAAATATCAGGTGTCTGTGATAAAAAATAGGTTCCAGTTTGTGGACCCCATTTTTACAAACACAAATCTGCTGGAGAATATTGGCGTGGCCTCTTAAAAAAGCAACATCGCAAGGGAGCAGTCCTTGTTTATCTCTAACAACAGAACATTTTGAGATTTCCATGTTACAGAAGTCAATGTTGATAAGCCTTTCATTTTCTACTTCCCATGCTACAAAGTGCAATAAATTACTTCCAAAATTGTCCCGTTTATCGATGATTGCTTTATTGTCCAACACTCGATTTATACATTTTTCATTTCGGAAAAATATGTCTTTAAAATGTAACATTACAGCTGTCTGTCCAATGTTGTTACAAATACCCGTATCACATCCAGACAGTTTTAAAAATTCCAAATAATCTGTATCAGAAACTGAATATGGAACTATGAAAATTTCAGTTTCTCCAAATATATTTCGAACATTTACTTCCGAACCCTTTTCTACCACAGTTTTTGCCAGGTCTTGATATGACCGATATGCAAACATCAAATAATGCAAAGCAGTTTCTCCTAAACTGTTTCTACAGTTAATGTTTGCCCCAGCTTTTAGAAATAATTCAAATACAAATTTAGAGTACTCAAAGCCAGAGTCAGATGTTGATCCATTATAAATGACAAGATGAAGAGGTGTATTGCCAACTCTGTTTTTAGATTCCAAAAGGTTTTTCCTTGTTTTGGACGAACAGTTTTGATATTCATTTTCCAGGAGACATTTTAAGAATGATTTAATTTTTTCACATAGCTCACCTCATTAAAATCTTTGGATTTGATTTTACTAAATCATGGAGGAAAGTGTTTCCGTATTCATCACAAAGTAACAAACCGTGTAGGTCTTCACAAAATACTGAAAATATTAAAACTAGGACATTTTGATTTTGTACTGCTGCAATATGCAAGGGTGTTTGGCCAAATATGTTCTGTTCCGTAAGATAATATGATAATTCGCTTCGCTTTGTCCGAATAAGTTCCCATATCTTTGCGTCTGAATTGTTACATTTCTGTATAAATAAGTGAAATATTGTATTTCCGAAAACATCTCTATATGAAGTAAAGTGATGATGCAATTTAAATGCACTTAGGAAGTTGTGTTGGTTAAAGTAATACAGTGGATCTTTACCTATATTGTCATGCATATTAAGTAAAGCTCCATTTGTCATCAATTTTTCAAATAATTCAAAGTTGGACGTATTAAAAATAAGATGTAATGCGGTTTTCCCTGAATTGTTTTGTTTATTTATTTTTATTCCACTTTCAATAAGCACCTTTGACAGGTTCAATTTTTCCAAACCGAACAGCATAATGAAGAGCGGAATCACCTAATTTACTTTCTATGTTTATATCTGTTGCTGCATCTGTCAAGACCTGAATTGTTCTAATCTCGTTTGACGTACATGCTAAGTGCAATGCCGTTTCTCCTTCATCATTTTGTTCATTTACATCTGCACCTACTTCTATCAGTTTCTCAATAAGTTGAATGTTACCAGGCATCATAGCGGCTTGATGTAAAGCAGTAATACCATGCTTAGCTTTAAGTTTTATATCAGTTTTAGCATCGATCAGTAAGTCCGCTATCTTGTTTACGTCCTGATACTCGACAACCTCTTCTTCGAAAAGCATCTCATTGATATACGGTAACAAGATATGAAGTGGGTAAGATCCAGACATGTTTGCAATATTTACATTAGCACCAGCTTCAATCAATGCTTTCACTTTTTCTTCGTACTTAAATAAACATGCACAATGCAGAGCGGTAGATCCGCTCCCATCTGGAAAATTTAGATCTGCACCTGCTCTAATGAACGCATTAAGACAACCGTTTGTTTTAGTTGCGACAGCTAAACTAATGGCAGATTGTCCTGTCTCGTTCAGAATGTTCAATTCAGCTCCATTTTTAATAAGTATTTCAGCAACTCTAGCATTTCCTTGTATAGATGCTAAATGGAGTGCTGTGTCTTTCCTCGAATTCTGAGCGTTTATGTCAGCGCCTGATGAAACTAGAGTTTCCACAATGTTTGTGCATCCTAAATGTGAAGCATATTGGAGAACTGAGAATGTTTCTACATGTGACATACTTAACTTTGACAATGTGTCTACAATATCATCGTTCCTGCCAGATGCGAAATTGCATGCTATGTCTTTCTTGGCAGTGTTTGCATTTATGTCAGCTCCCGATTGTTTTAGAGTTTCATCAATGTCCCAAACATCTGACTTAGAATCATGATAAAGAACCTTAGGTGTCGTATTTAACAGTGAAGTAAATTTAAATAATGTGTTCACAATAGCGTCGTTTCTACAGCGTGATGCAAAGTCAATGAAATTAAAACTTACATAATTCAAGTCAGTCGTACGCCAGCATATCGGCTTGAAGTGTCTTTTCCTTTTCAATTTTGATAAATGAATTATGATATCTTCAATAGATAGTGTTTCAAGTATTTGTTCTTGAAGAGTTTTTATACAATTTCCACTTTCCATTGTCAATACAATTGGAATACGAGAATAAATATTTCCACAAGTTCACATGAACTCAACACATTTTGGATCGACTATTTTTTCACAATAACGTTTTAGAATTGGTTTGAGGTACCATGCTGAAAAGTCCGCTTGTGTTTAATCTCATTGTATCACATTTAGATTTTAAATCATGAAGATCATTCTTATTTCGTTGACAGGCAAATTAAATGTTTACCTGTACATGTTGATAGCGTACACAACAATCAACTCTATATTCATATCAAATTTTCAACTTTTATTTTGTAACCATTTGTTACAAAATATTGGTAAATTTAATCGTACCGTGCAAACATTGAACAATACATTGGCGAACATTCAAATATATATCTTAGCAGGAGGCCAATCTTTTTGAAAAAAAAAAAGGTTTATCATTGAATGCCATTCAGCCTTGTTATACCTGTCTTTCTTTTATTGATTGCATTAACTATTGTGTTATGCTAACTGGTTATTACGGTATGTGCATTTCTTTTATCTCGCATTATACATACTTCACCATATTAGAACAATCTTTATTATATAATAATTATGCATACTTTATTATATTTTGTACATTCCTTATTGTGTTATGTACATTCTTTATTACATTTTATACATTCTTTATTATAGTGTGTATAATATTTATTATGATATGTATATTCTTTATAATAGTATGTATATAATTATTATATAACTAGTATGTACATTCTTTATTATAGTATGTGCATTCTTTATTATGTTATGCGCATTTTAATAATACATTTTTGCATTGATTACGGTAATTGATTATACTGGTCGACAATATAACCCCGCCCCCCTAAAAAACCCCAAAAAAAACCTGGTATAATTATGTTTACAAAAAATGAATTATGATGGAAAGCAGAGTTGATGTCTGCGTTGGTGTAATTACGAAATTACTGAAGCAGCTTATACTTTGGTTTATACAGAAATTATCTTAGTTCGATTGTGTAGGATGCTATAAGCTTATAGACACATTTTCGAATCTATTCCTGGAACCCAACCAGTACTGAGCAATAAGTGTAAAGTTTCTTGCCCAAGAAAACAAAGACTTGCCCCTGACGGGGTTTGAACCCATGCGGCTAGCGGTTCCGATGCGTTAACCACTCGGCCATGTAACCGCTTATACTTTTGGGGCGCTAGGTACTGGTTCTAAAGACACCAGTATAATTTATGTTTGAAATCATTGCAACATTTTAAGCATGATTTTAAAAGCTTCACTTAACGGGTTATACATTGTTTAAAGTATGAGTCAATCATTCACTTTTTTGTTCGAACTATAGGTGTCTTCAAAAATTGATTATATTTGATTTACATTTGGTACTATTATTATATGGCAATTAACTTATTTCAAACCAATGTCGATTATACATAGCAATACAACGGTTAAAAATGTTTTAGTTTTACATTGCGCTATATCAAGTATAGATATGTCTTTAATATGTGTTTATGGACCTAACAGAATCGATCTAGATTTTAATAACAGTTTAAATGAGATACTCCGTCGTCTGAATAATAAATGCATACTTGCAGGTGATTTCAACTTAATACTCAACCCATATATTGACTGCTCTAATTATGTTAACATAAATATTCCGGAGGCGAGGGACACAGTATTAAGTATTATTTTTGAACACAATTTAATTTTAATGTTTTTGATCTCTAGATATTGCGGACACTTGTAATTTGCTATCGCTCGGATCATTCCATTGTGGCATTAACATTAAAACTGGGTGAATTTAAGGCAGGTAAATCCTATTGGAAATTTAATAATTCGCTTTTGAAAGATGTCGAGTATGTTCAACAAACAAACAATTAGTACAGCGTATTTTACAACAGTATACCTCAGATGATCACACTCGATCTGTAAAATTAAAATATTTCGCTATCTTTTGACGATAAGTTATTACTAGAGACATTGCTAATGCAAATTCGCGGTCACACAATTTCATATGCCACTTTAAAAAAACGACAGGACAATATCAAGGAGAAAACACTCATAAAAGACATTGAAGCTTTACAGTAATGTACTAATAGAGAATGAAAATGCCTTGTTAATTAAGCAACAAGAACTGCAAGATATAAGGAAAAACAGGTTAGAGGTTTCTTTCATAAGATCGCGAGCAAAATGGGTTTTAGAGGGAGGAAAACCGACCAGATACTTTTGTAATCTAAAAAATACGCATTTCGTTAAAAAAAAAATATGGCAACCCTTTTTTAACAAGACGGGTGAAATTATTAATAATCAAAACAGCTATTTTAGCGGAAAATATGAACCATTATAAGTCCTTATACTCTGCAAAGATTACTAACACAGTTAGTTTAGGTAACCTGTTTCTTTATATAAATGTAACAAAAGTTCCCGATACGACAAAAATAGTTTAGAGGGTTTCATCTCTCGGGAAGAGGCTTTGGCAAGTTTAAAACGAATGGCATATGATACTTCGGCGTTTTGTTTTAAAAGAAATCTGGATTGATATAGGAGATTTTGTTTTGCGTTCAATTTATTTCTCATATACTACAGGTGAACTTTGAAGGCGAATCTCTTTTATACAAATATACAATCAGCAATTGTTGTTAATGGCCGCCTCTCCGACTGATTCCCCTTATTTCGAGGTTGTAGACAGGGGGACCCCCTGTCATCGTATGTTTTGTCCTGTGCGCCGAGATTCTTGCTTCACTTATAAAATAAAAAAAAATATAATATCAATATCAAAGGTATAGAAATTAAGGATATAGAGTATTTGATTTCACAATATGCAGATGATACCTCTTTGATATTAGACGGTTCTGAAAACCCCTCGTTTACACTATGAAAGTTTTAAAATTTCATGCAGATATCTCTGGTTTACAAATAAATGTGACACAACAATGGCGTTACGGATAGGAGCAATGAGAAAAAGCGATTTAGATTTATGTCTGGAAATCGGTGTTAAATGGGACAAAGGGCCATTAAGATTATTGGGAGTAACCTTATAAACACAAATATTGTATCTATCAGTGATCTTAACTACCTTTCCAAAATAAATGATGCTAAGACTCTTTTGAAAATATAGTCTAGAAGACTACTTTCTCCTATAGGAAAGATCGCAGTGATTAAGACGCTTGCTTTGTCAAAATTAACTTACCTATTTTTAACCTAACCAAATCCTAAATCTGATGTAATTAAAGACTTAAAATTGTATTGTTTTTCAAATTTGTTTGGAATGATGGACCGGATAAGATAGAAGAATAAAATTCTCACAAGATATAAGTAATGGTGGGCTTAGAGCGGTTGACTTTATACATTTCATTAGTGCTTTCAAAATCACTTTGATAAGAAGACTTTTCTGTTCAAACACTAAATATGCTTTTCTTGTACAAGAATTGTGTCCAGCTCTTTATCAAATATGGTTTATCAAATTACATATTTACTAGATCCACTTGATTTTGAGCGAGATTACAAATACAAATGGTGTAATTCACACAGAGGTACATTTATTGAAAAAAAATGACCAACACATTTTATTTAACGCTAATAATATCATAATAGAATTCCGCGGTAAGTGAGATTTTAAATATATATGAATGATCTTCTGCAGAGAATCTGCGCGTACGCTATAGAAATACATCGCATAATGAATAAGGTTATTAGTCATTGTGAGACGAAAAATGTAATGAACTGAAACAAATTAAGTACGCCACGTTACGAAGATTTCGATGAACGAATGATTCACAAGATTTCCAGTAGTATATTGATTTGCGCAAATAGTTTAAGAAAACGTGTTATATTAAAAAGCGCCTTTATCTGTATACTAAAAGATGCAAGTTACTTAAGTACAGTAAAAATCCTTAAACATTTTGGCAAATGTTGAAATCTAGTCAGAGTAAAGATGAAATTAAATCTCAAAATAAAGAACCCGAAACATGGAGGAATTATTTCAAAGGTTAACTATGGAAGGATAATCTTCCAGGATTAAATAATATTGATTTGATTGAGACTGAGTTACGAACAAAGTACTATTTTGAATTCGTAGATAAGTACTGATGAAATTTTAGATAGTTTCTATAATTCAAAAATCGGGAAATCGCAAGAAAAAGACGGCTTTGTGGCGGAATTTTATAAATCTTCATCCAACATCATTACGCCGTTTTTTAAAGATTATTTTATAGAATTTTTGAGACTGGCGATTTTCTAAATACTTGGAGAGACAGTACTATTGTACCTATTTATAAATCTGGTAATAAATTAGAACCATCAAATTATAGGTGTATATCGTTGATAAATGTAATGTATACAATATTCTCATATATTATTTACGATAGATTATGTACAAGGGTCGAAGAATTTAACAAAGTAGACGAGGCTTAAGCAGGGTTTAAGGCAGGATATTCTACCATATATAGTATATTTAGTATAGTTTAGTAAAATTATCTTGACAAACCAGGTGGTAGATTTTATGTTCCTTCTGTTGATTTTCAAAGGCCTTTGATTGTATATTACATTACAAATTGTTTAATTGTTTACATAAGGTCGGTTTAAGAGGGGAAATATCTTGCGCGTAATTATATCTAGTATGTATTCAAATATACGCGGCTTTGTCAGAGTAGAATCCGACAAAGTAACGAATACGTTTAATTGTAATGTTGGTACAAGACAAGGGGGTGTAACTAGTACAACAATTTTCAATCTTTATATTAATGAGTTATCTCGCTTCCTAAGAAGAAAATGTCATCGAGGTATTTTCGTTACGAATCAAATTCATGATATAATATGTATTCTTTTTGCAGATGAAGTTGCAAATTGCGCTGTAACAGCATTTGAAATGCAATTGCAATTTAATACAATTGTAGAATTTTGTATTTATACCGGAATAACTATAAATCAGTCGAAAGCCGAAATAATCGTCTTTAGAAATGGTAGTCCATTAAGGTCCTACGAACGTTGGTCATATAATGTACATGTAAACATTACATCTTGTTAATATATGGAATTATTATTTTCATCGAAATTTTCTTGGTGTAAAGCAAAAGCGAAACTTGCTGCACAAGCAAAAAATCTATGTTTGCTATTAAATCCTACCACAGAACTTTTGGATAATTTCCACACAATGAATATTTTAAATTTTTTGATTCAATGGTCAAACCTAGTCTAACTAATGGAACGGGAATATATGGTACTGAATATTCGGATATTTAAGAGCACGTTCATAGCCAATATTGTAAAGATTTCTTGAGTGTTAATACTTATTAAAATGATTGTGTAGCTTTGGGAGAATGTGGTAGACTTCCATT